CCAGCAACTCACACTAAAAGAAATTTACGTGGTCCTATGTAATCCACTTACTCACCCACCTACCCACCCACCCACCCACCCATCCACCCACCCAAACCACCCACCCACCCACCTATCCAATAAAAAAAAGAAAATGGTCTTCTGTTCCTGTTGCATTGCCAAGTATTTATGTAAGAAATAGTAAAGAAATATTTCAGAATCAGATGAAAATAAAAGTGTATTTAACTGGGAAGGCAGTTTGTTACACTATTAAATAAGCTTTCATCTTGCTTTTCATTTAGTGTGAATTTTTTCATTGGGAAAAATGCAAAACTTAACTCCTAGAAAGGCTTATAGTTTGGGTTCTATTTAATTTACTTATGGCACCTGAATTTTGGTCTTATAATCATGCTGTAAGTTAACTTAATAGCTAAGAGCCAGAAATGTCAGCTGCTTTAGATGGCTATTTTGTTAAATATAAATTGATCTTTACTTAGAGAGTCTAGATCCCCAGAAGAATGATATTGTAGGCAGGAATTACCTGCATATCTGCATTTTATAGATAAGGAAACTGATTTTTAGAGAAGGATAGAATTTGAAAGCGAAGGGCATATTATTGCAGTCATGGTGCCTTTGATATAAGCATTTAATAGAAACTGTTTTGTTTAATTGGAAAATGTCATGATTTATGTGAAAGACTTGCCTTCCATCCTGCCTCTGCTGAAAAATTGCACCTCTGAGAGGGCTTACTTCTATGGTGCCTCATAAAAATTGGGTTAGTATATCTTTGTTTAGTGACTGAAAGGATGTGATTCTAGTTTGTTTATGCACAGAAACTATTTTTGCAAATGCAGAATCTTCAAATTATAGAAGAATAATAGAAATTGCTTTGGACCTTTTCAGGCATTAAGTGTGATTCAGGGGTTTTTAAATAGAGAAGTGTTTGGGTATATAAGTCTCTCTGGGGTGGCCTAGTAGACCTAAAGAGATACTTTGGCAAGTTTTGATTTTTGTTGTTTTTTTTTCAGAACCAATAAAAATCTAAATAGTCTAAGATGATTGTGGCTGCACACTCATCTTTCTTGGGTATTTCTGTTTGTCCAGTGACAACATGAAAGCCATCTAATTGCATTGTATGCTTCAGATAAACATTTCTGGACTTAATTGGGACATCCAAATAAAGAAGACCCATAACATCTTGCTGTATTGTATACTCACAGCTTTAAAAACTGCAAATGTGGGGCTGGGAAGTTGGCTCAGTGGTAGAGCGCTTGCCTTGCATGCATGAGGCCCTGGGTTCAATTCCTCAGCACCACATAAGCAAAAAGAAAAATGCCGGAAGTGATGCTGTGGCTCCAGTGGTAGAGCGCTAGCCTTGAGCTGAAGAGCTGAGGGACAGCGCCCAGGCCCAGAGTTCAGGCCCCACGACCGGACCCAAAAAGAAAAAAACCCTGCAAATGTAATGTTTACTGATGAAGATACCCACAGAAGACAGTCTTACACTGTGTCACAGAGCTAGCTAAAGCTGGGCAGGTGTAGTCTGGAAATGAATTTAAGCTTTCACTCGTGACTTGAATAAGTAGTTGGTGTTTTAAGCTATTGGTCTGGTAAGGTAACCCATGAAAGAAAATGAGATGAATATAGCACCCAACAGTCTAAAACTAGCATCAGAAATCCAGTGAGAAAAATATGCAGTGAATTTAGTCAGAAGAAGTTATTGGATATCTTGTTAGAAATTATTTTGATATTTTGAAGTTGAAGCTAGGTTATTTTTTATGTATATGTGTGTTTTAGCAAGTCTGGCTGGGATCATGGTTCAATAAAATGTTGGGCAATAGTCAAAGAGTAATCAAGTTGAAGTAGAGCTTCTCTTTACTCCCTGAAAAGAAATAATGACCATAAAAATCAGAGTTCCTTTCACTTTTGTATATTCTCCATACTGAGTAACATGTTTAGTTTTCTCTAAGTTTCTGTCAGTCTTTTCCATAGCTTCACTCACAGACCATTTCCCTAAGTTTCAGTCATGAACTTTCAAACTGCTTGACATTGTGTCCTGGTTTGTTAATATCAGCATATATCTTTCTAGGTTACCATGAGAGAGAGAGAGAGAGAGAGAGAGAGAGAGAGAGTGTGTGTGTGTGTGTGTCCTCTTTCTCTACCAATTTTCTTCTCATTCCTACCTCAATCCCTGCTTGGTAAGCTTAGAATCACATTATTACTTTTTGAAAGGTAATTCCCCCAAATAATGCTAAATTACCTTTTTATACAAAAAATATTTTAGGATGGGCAAATTGCCAGACCTAACATTCTTTTTAAAAATTTCTGGAAGCTATTATATATTAAGAAATAATGTTGGGGTTGTAGCTCAGTGGAACATTGTTTGCTTAGCATGTATAGGGATCTGGGTTGAACAACCAGCAACACCCCCCCCCCAAAAAAGAGGGCAGAGCAGAAATTAAAGATATATATCCACTTTGATTTCCTGGGACTTCAGGAAATTAATACAGTTATGTCCCCAGTGTATTTCTTAATTGAGCTATAAATAGCATGCTTATTTAATTTTAACTTCTGTAATTTTAGAGATTAATAAACACTTCAAAATAGAAGTAGTAGAGATGATTAGGAGAATTTTTAATTCTATATGATTGCATCCTTATTTTAAATGCTTTGCATATGTACAGGAAAATGTTTACTTTGCCGAGGGTTGAACTCAAGGCTTTTCATGTGCTAAGTAAGTGTTCTCTACCACTGAAGTATATCCTAGTCCTTGTGTTTGCTATGTGTAACAAAGGTTGACCTTAAACTCACTGTATAGTCCAGGCTAGCCTCAAGCACTGGGACTGCAGATGAACATCACCTTGCCCAACCGTAAATGCATATTTTTTTAAACATAGTCACTCATAGTATAGTAGAAACTAGCATAATTGCTAGATAAACAGCCATAACAAAAAATTAGGATATCCTTATACTTTTACATTGTTAGGAAGATGACCATTTTGATATATAACCTTGGAAAAAGTAGAATTTTAAGTATATATCTTTAGTTTCCTTAAATATAGAGGGAAAGAGAGATGTTTTCTGTGCATATTATAGTCATTTTCTTGTATTACTTGGGAGTTAGATAATATTTCAGAATCTTATTTCATAAAATAATTGAGGAGCACTGTGTACACTAGAGTGAACACTAAAAATTTGTCTAATTATAATTACATCAGCAGGCAAACTTTTTCTGTCTAGTCTTGAGTGGTTGAATGTCAAGTTTGAGTCATCATTCCCTTTTAGGAGTCATTTTTTTAGTATTTGAGATCATCAGTGACTTTCCTGTCAGGACTACATTTAACAGTGGGTAAAAATGAGTTGTTCTTCTGATTGAACTGCACAAGATCCATGGTCACATTTTTCACTTACCATTTATACCTATTTCTAACAAGTTTAATGGTCACTGATAGTTACATTGATGCCAGATTCTAAACAAGGAAACAAACCACAATAGGCAGCCCAATGACAAAGAGAAGTTTGGATTATTGTATAGATTTTACTCCGTGATCACACTGAATTTACTGTAGCTTCTTTCTTTTGAAATTTACATTCAGATTTCACTTAGCACTGTGAAGCACTAATAGCAGTTTTAGAAACACTTTGGCCTGGCACAACTTAAAGAAACAATGTCCAAAAATTATATTTTGTACTCTGCTGTTGAATATGAGTAGAGTAAGAACCATAGTGATAGGGGTTGAGGATGTGACTGTAGATTTGAAACATCGCTTAAGCCATTCCCCCCACCTCCATCCCCTTGGTGTTCTACTCATGGTGCAGATACTGGATTGGAAATGCATTGTATGTCATTAGTGTATTGGGACAGAAAAAAATTTGAGAACAACTGAGATATCAAAGGTAGAAATATCAAAGCTAAGAATTGTATAATTAGTCATGAAACTTTATTGAAGAATTAAATACCACTTGTAAAAATGCATTGTGTCAACCATTTCATGCTTGAATCTGAGAAAAAGTATAAAGGAAAATGCCAAGACTTGGTTGGCAAGGAATGAGTAAAGGGGCAGGATTATGAATGAGCTTTAGGGTACATACATAGGGATCTTATTCTGTTGATAGGTGTTGAAGAAGAGTTTGTATCATTGATGTTGACATTTTGGATATGTGAATGTTCATTGCCTAGAACATATAAATTTGTGGCTAGGCAGAAGAAGGTTTGAATTTATTTATCTAGCTAGTTAGGCCATACATGACAGAATTCACTATGTGCTACAGACACCTTCAAAATGTAAAATTTGAATCATTATTTGAAATGAAGATATTGTATTGCCCAGGCTTGCTCAGACTCCTAGACTTGAGATGATTCTTGTACCTCAGCTTCCCAAATGACTTGGATTATAGACCTGATTTACAATTTGATATTATTAGAATGAGTTTACTGGCAAAAGTGAGACTTAAATTCTAAGAAATTTTAATAACCAAGGTTTCCTTCTACTTTATTACTGCTTTATATATTCTTTGGGTAAAATACAGGGAATCCTTCATTTTCATGGTGAAATACCTATGGCAGTCTACTTAGGAAAGGAATAAAGTTTATTTAGTGCTCTTTGCAGGCTGAAAGTCCAAATAGTGTAACGTAGCCTCTGACAAAAGCTTCCCCTTAGCTGTGGGCTGTAGTCCCGGGAGCTGTGCAGGAATGAGCATCTTATCACCCAACAGGAATCTAGAGCGACAACAGCTCAGGAGGATTCACTTCATTAGACCATTATTTCTTTCTCAGGACATTTTTTCCTAGTGACCCATGAACTTCCCCCTAAGTCCTGCACTTCAAGCTTCCACACATCCAATACCATGGCCACCACAGAAGCAAACTTCCAAAATGTGAACCTTTGTGGCTTTGTAGGAACATATTATGCCCAAATCATAGCACATGATTCCAGATATGGTGAAATATATTAGTTATGTTTTTGTGAGGTTATTTTAAATTTGAAATTTTAAGCACAATTCACATTTCTTTTTGTAACAAGGAACCTTTTGAGGATGGTTTTGCAAACGGGGAAGAAAGTACTCCAACTAGAGATGCTGTGGTCACATATACTCCAGAAAGTAAAGGAGTTGTGAAGTTTGGCTGGATCAAGGGTGTATTAGTAAGTATATGTATATAGATAAATAGATTTAATTTGAAAATGGAAATATTTCTGGTGATTATAAAACCTACAGAATATTCTCAAAAGAATTTTCTTTCTCTGACTTTATCTTCGTACTGTGGAAGATCACTTGTACCTCTGTTATTTTTAGATAGTAAATTCAGTGAAGAATTTATATCTAAATCTCTATACTTGTCTAAGACATAGGAGTATTAGACTCAAATCTATTTTTTTAGTATGTGAACAACTGACATTTTGTGTTGACAAGCATGTGACACTTAAGTCTGTTGAACTCACGAAATAAGGATTTTATAAATGAATAAACAAAAACAAACCCATGTCATAAAGGAGAATGAAGTAATTTTTAAGCATTGGTACCTTCCAATATTCCTTGTACTGTTTTGTTGTGTTTCTTCTGCTTATGGTAATTGTGAGAAGCACATTTGTTTAAACACATATAGTTATGGTGTTTTAACATTTAGCTCAATGCTGAGCTCTTATTATATTTGATTACTTTCCTTTAGCTGTAACTTGCTCTTTTTTCCTTCCTAGGTACGTTGTATGTTAAACATTTGGGGTGTGATGCTTTTCATTAGATTGTCATGGATTGTGGGTCAAGCTGGAATAGGTAAGTGAAGTAATATACTTCCTCAGAGTATGATAAACATAATAAGGCTATGCCTGTCAAACTCTCAGCCTCAGAAAATTTAAGCAGTCAGCTGTTTCCCTTGTTTCTGAGGTTGTTACATTAATAAATTGCTTTTTAAACCTTCTGTTTTTTCAAAAATGAGACTCAAATCTGGGTAGTTTGTGAATTATAAATTTAATGTTTTCAGATCATTCCATTCTAGATAATGGCAAGTTTTAAGTATTTTCTACATCTATGTTTTTTTTCTCTAAAGGTCTGTCAGTTATCGTAATAGCCATGGCTACTGTTGTGACAACTATCACAGGACTATCTACTTCAGCAATAGCTACCAATGGATTTGTAAGAGGAGGTAAATTCATCATATTTCTATTAATAAATAGAAATTAAAATTTAATTTGTATTTTTGTCTTCATAGAAGACACATATATCACACATATATGTATGTTTCTATGTGTATGCATGTATAAGGAAGTCTGTGCTGAGCATTTCTATTTATTTGAGTGTAAAATTTTATTTGACCAATATGATACAATACTTCAGAATATCTAAGGTGTGGAAAGTAGCAAAAATGGAGTTTATCCCTTGTTTCTTATCAACTGGACTGCACCTATTGCTTTCTCCCAAGCTTTTGCCATTGTATCAGTAACATTCACTCTAGCATAAAATCAACATTGTGTAAATATAATTTCATTTACCCCCTTTTCTTACTTTTTTGTTGTTGTGCCAAAATACAAGGGAGGAAAGTTTTATTTTGGCACATGGTTTCAGAGGGTTCAGTCTATAGTTTCTGGGCTCTATGTGCTTCGAGAAACAGCAGTGGGAGCATATAGAAGAAGAGGCTGTTGTTCATCTCATGGTGAAGAGGAAGATGAGAAGGGAAGAAGAGGCTCAGGATAAAGTACAACCTTCAAAGGCATGTTCTCTCCCCCTTCAACTAGGCCACATCTAAAGTTTTTAGAATTTCCCAAAATAGAGCCACTAGTTGGGGACCAGGTGTTTAATGCATGAACATGTGGGGAGTGGCACACATTTCATGTTTAGACTGTAACATTCTGCTCTTGGCTTCCAAAGGTTCATGACTATTTCATAATACAAAATGCATTTAGTTGATCTTCAAGAGTCTCCAAAATGTTAGCAGTCTGATATTGTTTAATAGCCTAAGGTCAAAGTCTCCTTTGAGAGTCTCCTTTGAAACTCTTAGCTATGAGCTCTTGTATGAGAGAACAAGTTACATTCTTTTAACATACATGTCACAGAGTAGCATTTTCATTCTAAAAAGGAAGAACAAAAAATAGCAAGGAAGGAACTGATCAAAAGCAATACCAAAATACACCAGAGCAAATGTGAAATCCTGTAGCTCCATGTCCAGCATCTGGAGCATGTATTGTTATATGAGCTCTAAAAGGCTGAGCATCCCTTCCCTTAGGGCCTGGCCAACTACAGCCCACATGGTCTCTTTTGGGCTGGCTGTACTTATTGCCTAAGGCTTTCCTGGGCAGATGTTCCACATTCCTGGTGTCTCCAATATACTGGAGTCTCAAGAGCTGTTTACAGGTTCCTGACCCTATTATGCATTTCTTACCTACCTCCACAGGACTCCCTTTGAAATCTAGGTAGAAGCCTTCATGACTCTAACTTTCAGATGCATCCTTTCAAAACCACTGTCATATGGATGTTGCTAACGTCTGCTGCCAGCTTGAATAGGTAGCCTTATCACTAAAACTGGCACTCCAGTGTCACTGCTGGGGCCTTTGAACACATATCTATGTGGCACTGTGCTGGTATGCATGCCAGGCACCTAGAGCTCTCTTAAAGCAAAAGCTTACAAATGAGTGGAGAGCTTTACACCCCGATGCTGAGATTGGAGGATCTGGCCATACCTGAGGTGCCCTCAGTGTACCCTTCCTGTTGCCCTATAGATGTCAGTGGTTTCTTTTCAGTGTTTGGAATCTCTTTAATCATGTTGTCCTACAATTCTGTGTACAATGTTAAATGTATTCCTTTCTAGCCAAAGTACATAATTTTCAAGTATTCTCACTATTATTTTGTTCTTGATCCTCACAGTAAACTTGGTTAAAAACAACCATCAATAACTAAAACTAACATATATTAATGGTGCATGGGGGGTTATTGTGACATTTCTACACTAACCCATTTTTAATTCAATTTCATTCAAAGTGTTAGAAAACAGACAAAATGAATTATTTTTGGTTTTTGCCTGAGTGTAAAATGAGTAGCTTCTAGTCTAATTCCCAGCAAAGTCCTCATTTCTTTCTGAAACTTTATGAGCATAGTCTATGAGCATTTCTGTCAGCATTTTCATTTTCTGTGTTCCCATTAGATTTCCCCCTTAAGCTCTGCTATGCTATTCTACGGTTTTTTAAGCCCATATTTCTTAAGAGTTCCAAATTTCTGGATTCAAAGGCATAATAACATTATCAGATAGTCACAGTCATGAACTTGCTTTTCTGGTACAAGTTTTCCACATTACTTTTCTCATCACTGTGACCAAAACCTCACAAAAACAACTTAAGGTTGGCAAATTTTATTTTGGCTTGGTTTCCGAGGGTTCAGTCTGTGGCTGCTTGGCCCGCATACTTGGTCAAAACATGTGACACAGGAGGCTGTTCACCTCTTGGCAGACAGGAAGCAGAGAGAGAGCGCGAGAGAGGGCATAGGGACCAGGTACAGCCATTGAAGGCATTCCTTCAGTTAGCTACTTTTCCAACAAGGTCCCATCTCCAAAAGTTTACAAAAACTGAAAATAGCACCATCTAGTGTTCAATAAATGACCCTGCTGGGGCCCTTCATATTAAAATCATAGCAGGGACCATGAACACTGGAGTAATAACTTCAGTTCTAGTTTTTTTTTTTTTTTTAAATATTGGAGCCCACGGAATCTGGCTTAAGAGATTTTACTGTGCAAAGGAATGAGAGCATGACTTTGGGACTCTAAAGAACAAAAAGAACTAAATTCTACTTTTCAAGTCATTTTCAAATCCATTTTTCAAGATCCCTGGAGAAATAAAATGTTTGCCAGCACCCGCACAGTTATACTCCATCTATTTTTTCATCTGCCTCAGTTATTTTGCGTATACCTAATTGATGTTCTGTAAACAAAAGTTATGCTTTATCTGCATCAGGAATTGGAGGTGGGACAGGGAGCCAGATAAGTTTTTCATTTTATTTCATCTTCACATTTCTTAGATACCAGAGAATCCAGATCCCAATGATGTAGGTAGAAGCTGGTATCAATATGATTATGCTGAGCATACACTATACACCACTGTTTATCAGGTTTTAAATCTATTTGTTAGTCTCATCTTACATATATAGGAGTGTAAAACATGTGTATGTTCAACAGAATTAATTAGACAATGCTGAATTTTGACTCTTTTTACAAGGTACCTTATGCTGGGTATGTTGGGAAACGTAAGTAGAACTGGAAGTGAATATTTGCAGGAAATCCTGCAAATCCTGTGAGACTTTTGTCTTGCACTGGTGTTCATATTACCAGCTGATAGACATTCTATTTTAAGTAATGGGAAATCAGGCCAACTGTGATGTTAAAATTTAGCTATATCGGAGAAGTTATTATTATATTGGAAAATTGGGAGATGATCTTGGTATCTATGAATATGAGGAAGAGATTGTTGTCCGTTAGAATCTAAGCTTTAAAGGAGACAGTGAGGACTTAAATAGAGTGGATTTCTGTTTGATACAAGTTTTAGGAGTGTTAGTATTTATGAATAGTTCTTTTCGGGTATTACTGGAAACACAGTTAATCTCACATTCCTGTTCATTTAACTTCTGCACTCTCCTTTGTGAATTCTCTTGTGAAATTAAGAAGATTGTTTGGCATTTTAAATCCTAACTTTTGTTGTATTTCCATTCTTAGGAGGAGCATATTATTTAATATCTAGGAGTTTAGGGCCAGAATTTGGGGGTGCAATTGGCTTGATCTTTGCATTTGCCAATGCTGTTGCTGTTGCTATGTATGTGGTTGGATTTGCAGAAACAGTGGTGGAATTGCTTAAGGTAATTAATGTTTCTTTTATTTACCAGTTTTTTAAGTTAAATTTGATTTGATTAGCATTATTGAGGATTTATTTCATTATATCACTGTAAGATAGGAAGAAATGGAAAAGAAACATTTCCAGCTCCCTATGGAGGAAACAGGAGTTACAGGCTGAAAATGGTGATTTCTATCTACAACCTAAACATGGAGATATTATCTAGGCTCACCCAAAATATAGGGGCAATAGGTTATTTTAGGACTTCTTTTGCTTGGAAAGTTTTCTAGTTCTCTCTTTGCCTCCTGCAAAGAATTCAATAGATTTTTTTTTAATGCATCTCAAAGGAAAATACAGATAGCCCTTTTTATGTCTCCTATTCCTGTGATTGAGCTTTAAAAAGCTGATAATGGTAGTAACCCCTCTATATGAGGGGTTTCCTTCATATTTCCTTCATGATGCTTCATGAGAAGAATCTTATAACATTATAGGTATGTACATTATGTGTCTTCTACTTTAGCTTATGATAAATTAGGTTCAAAAATCTGAAAGAACTGATAACTAGATTGACTGGCTTCTACCTTTGTAAACCAAAGGGTAGCATTCAAAATTTTGCATGTTAGCACATCCTTTTTTTGATACATTGAGTTCACTCATATGCCAGTGTTAATAACTTAATAGTTGGACATTAGATTTATCAACTGCTTGAATGATAGCTCATTAGTAAATAGTAATGCATTCCTTTTTTTTAGATCTCCCATTCATTTATCTCATAAGTTGCTATTCATGATATTTGTTTTTTTTCTAGGAACATTCCATACTGATGATAGATGAAATCAATGATATCCGAATTATTGGAGCCATTACAGTGGTGATTCTTTTAGGTATCTCAGTAGCTGGAATGGAATGGGAAGCAAAAGTAAGTCATGATAGGAATATCTGTAAATGTTTCATATATAAACTTCAGAGCTTATGTTTTGGGAACACTAAATTATAGTAACATTTCAGATTCTATGACCCTTTTCACAGAAGTTTTATGTATAAGACAATCAATTTGGGACAACATAAAACTTTTTTTTAATCTTTTTTTTTTTCAGTGCTGTGAATGAGCCACTGTTCCACTGATCCCTGAGCCATGTCCCTAGCCATCTTGTTTATATTTTGTTTTGCTTTGGTTTAGTTCGGGCAGAACTGGGTTTGAATTCAGGACCTCATGTTTCCTTTGCAAATGCCCTACCACTTGGAGATATACTTCCAGTCCTTTTGTCTTTAGTTTCTTTTTTTCAGATAGTCTTGTGCTTTTGCACAGAGCCAGCCTGGACTGGTCTCATATTGTAACCCTCCTGATCTCTGCCTCCTGAAAAGCTGATTATAAGTATATACCACAATGCCCAATAATTCTTTTAGCCAAAGTGTATTGAGCACCTACTTCATGATTGGCAATTTGAGGCTTTAGGGAAACAGACAAAGCACAGAATCCTTTAACTGAAGTTGTGTTCTAGTAGAACTGAATAAAATTATAAACAAAAAGTACCAATTTTGATTTTTATTGTTTGAAATTACAGGCTCAGATAGTTCTTTTGGTGATTCTCCTTCTTGCCATTGCTGATTTCATCATAGGAACATTTATCCCATTAGAGAGTAAGAAGCCCAAAGGTTTCTTTGGATATAAATGTAAGTAAAAAGATTGAATACTTTTTAGAGGGGGATATTGTGTTCTACTATTAAAGATTTTGTTGTAAAATGGAGTTTGTTCTGTGGATTCACACTTATTCATAGTTAATTTTTGCCACCTTTATAGGCTGAAGATTGGAGTGAAAATCATTTTTATCTTCATATTTTTCTAATATTAGCAATAATATTTGAATTCAGTGCTGCTGAAAGAGGGCTGTTTTTCTCAGCTACTATTGGGAATTAGTTAATGGGTGATTTTTGTACTAACATGCCTATTTCTTTTTTTTCTGAATTTTTTTTTATTGTGAAAATACTGTACAGAGGGGTTACAATTACATGGGCAAGATAATGACATGTCTATTTCTTATTTTAGGTGCACAGTTGTATCTGTTGATGGGACCAAATAGTGAGAAATATGTGTTAAGGATATTTCATTGTTGTAGAAACATAGAATATACTTAACAAACAAAGATGTACCAGAACCACTGTCATATATTTGGTTCATTGTTGACCAAAATGTTATAAATCTCATGTTTAGAACATAACAGTTTGAAAGTGCTAAAGATGGTAGAAGCAACTAGAAGTCTTTCTTAGTTTCTTGATAAGTTGAAACATAACTTTTGCTACAATTGACATTATGTGGGAGTTTTTCTTCTCCATAATCTTTTTATTTTCATTAAATGAAACATAATTGTCTTTATTATTTATCAAAGTGTCTATCTGTATCTTTCTCACCATCTTCTGACCTAAGTTAGCAACCTTGACCTTAAAAATGATTAGTTGCTGGTGTATCAGAAACACTTGTCATCAACTGCCTAAAACCTACACTTTTTTTCTTGAGTCATGGTTTAACTGAGTACAGTCTCCAAGGCATAATCAGACTCCCAAATTATGGGATTATAGTTGGAACCATGCCTAACAGTAAAACCTGCTTGAGTTTTAAATTTTTTATTACTAATTTTAAAATAACAATGATTAATATTGTTAAAATAATATTAAAATTTTTATTGTAGCTGTTCTGATGACATCGGGTTTGAACTTAGGTCCCCATGCTTGCTAGGTAGTTACCCTCTCAAGCCACATCTCCAGCCATTTTCCCTTTTCAGATAGTCTTGCAGTTTTCTTGCCTTGGACCTTAATCCTTCTACCCTCTCCTCATGCATAGCTGAGATTACAGGCCAACTTGTTTATTGATATGGGGGGGTCTCACTTACGTTTTGTCTGGTTTTAAATCACAATCTTCTCTATCTCTACCTCCTGAATAGCTGACATTAAAGATGTGAGATACCACACCTTGTTTTAATCTAATTATTATGGTTTAATCTGCTTATCCATTAATAGCCAAAAATATTTTGTTCTCTATAGCTGAAATATTTAATGAGAACTTTGGACCAGATTTTCGAGATGAAGAGACTTTCTTTTCTGTATTTGCCATCTTTTTTCCTGCTGCAACTGGTATTCTAGCTGGAGCAAATATCTCAGGTGATCTTGCAGTAAGTATTACCAAGTATCAAATCAATTATGTTAAATCATGTACATGTGTTTATTTTTCTCAGTGGGCTTACAAAAATTTTTTGTCCTGTAGGATCCTCAGTCAGCCATTCCCAAAGGAACACTCTTAGCCATATTAATCACTACAGTGGTTTACATAGGAATTGCTGTATCTGTAGGTAAGCCTTTCATTTCCATATATGTCTCAGAAACTTTCTGATATATATATATATTTATATATATGCACACAGCAGGGTATAAAAATGTATATTTTCTAACTTTCAGGTTCTGAAATACTTCAATAAAAAGGCATAGAGTAGCCTATTTTAATTCAAAAATAGTTTTTAAGAAAATAGTGAACTTTTATAGATATCAAACTATTAAATAAGGATTTTAATTGTATTTCCTTCAGGATTTATTTCACTAAATTAGGAAGATAAAAATCATGTATAAATGTTTAAAATCCACTGAAATATGTTTATTGAAAACATTCAGATGTGGAAGTAAGTGGATTTTACTCTTGGATCTTTATAAATTTCTGAGTGGTTTATGGTGGTTTTTCTCTTAATATAATGAAATTATCACAACCATTAAGCAATACCTATCCTTGCTTATTATGCAAACACTAGACTTGAAGAACAGAACATGCTGAGTCAAATAGACCCATGCTAAAATCTCTTAAATTAAAAACCCATGATTTTGGAGCCACTTCATTGCACTTATGGGAACATAGCATCTGAGAACTGACGTGATTAGTTTGTTTGTAAATCCCTATTTATAGATGAGGGATGTTGAAGCTCAGAGATCTTGCTACCAAAGATAATTGTACTTGCCATTATAATCATCACTTCTATGACAGAATATTTTTTAATAAAATAAAGGGCATTTATAATGTAGATCTCTTAAATAGACTGAAACATTATAGCCCAGGGAACTTTGTAGGTAAATTATTTTTAATTTTTATGTGATTTGGATATAGTAGCTAAATAAATTATCTTGACTTTATTATACTTTTTGAATCTATGCCTAGGAAAATGGGTTCTAGAAATGTAAACATTGGGGGCTGGGAAGTTGGCTCAGTGGTAGAGCGCTTGCCTTGCATGCATGAGGCCCTGGGTTCAATTCCTATGCACCACATAAGCAAAAAGAAAAAACCCGGAATTGGTTCTGGGCTCAAGTGGTAGAGCGCTAGCCTTGAGCTGAAGAGCTGAGGGACAGCGCCCAGGCCCAGAGTTCAGGCCCCATGACCGGACCCCCTCCCCCTCCCAAAAAAAGAAATGTGAACATTGTTTTAAATGTCCGTACTCTTATAGAAATCAATTTTTACAGTTAAAGATTTTAAACATAATGCAAAGTAAATCTCAATTGAATAACAAATTTGGGCTTACTATGTATGAGGCCCTAGGTTTAATCTTCAGGACCAAGCAACAACACAATAGAACAAACTCTCATAAACTCCAAATTCCTTGACTTCTTGACACAAGTCTCCATTATATTTCAGTAAGGTTTTTAAATTATTGACCAAAATGATGTAATGACAGAACCATACTTACTACAAACTGTGCTATTTATGTGAATTAGAATTTCTGACTACAGTGAAATTTCAAATAATACTGTAATGAGCTCAGTTGTTGTTTAAAATAGTATTTGGAGTTCCAATAATTCATGAATCTCTCAAATTTACTTGGAAAACAAGTAGATGGACCACATACAAGTAGTAACATTGTTTCCCTGAAAGTTCTTAGCACAAGATAAATGTCTGTGTGTCTGTGTGTGTGTGTGTGTGTGTATGTGTATTACACAAATAAAATTTAGTTTTAAATTGAAAGAGTGCTATAACCAATTATTTTTCAACTTGTAAAATAATGTGTTGTCATGAGTAAATTTCTGTTTTGGTCTACCTTTTTAAGACTGGTAGCCCTGTATTCATTTTGTGCTGTGTGGCCCTTGAAGCTGTGGGAGTAGCTCTTTTTCTTTGATGTTCACTGGCTGTCCCGTATGGGTACCTTCTGTCCCAGTGGTTCTAGAACTAAGGAAAAATTGCAGGCACAGAACATTGTAATATGAGGGACATGAAGGTATAGCTGCTTTATTGCTAATGAGCATCATAGGGCTACGTTCTCTCCTATTTCCTCATCCTTTAGTTGTTTTGGAGGTACCATAAAATCATGGTTTTTAAAACTGTTGAAAGGTACAGGAAGAAATAAAGAACTGTGTAGTCTGTCCAGTCATTAAAATATTCTCCATCTCAAGCTTAATTTTCTTTTGTAATAACTATTCATATTGTTTGCTCTCAGAGGATTCCTATATCTGACATCTCATCTTTGACCATATTTCAAGCATAATAATTTAGAATGCTGGAAAACATTTCTCCTATTTGAGACTCTTTCAATGCTTTTTATATTGCTCATGGACATTTTAAACAAATAGACTGTGGAATGGTTTTGTGAATAGTCTATTTCTGCAACTACATATACAAGATTCTTCAGTATTTATATGTAAATACTATTGTTTAAGAAAGGTTTAGTTTTATTACTTAAATATTGGAGACATAAGATATTTTCCCATTCCGTTCAGCATAAAGCTATCTTAACTGTAAATATAATAGATACTATTTTGAGTATATATCTAGTCAGTATTTGATTTCTTTATGAATATATAGAACTCTAAAGTGAATATTGATGTTAACTGTATTTTTCACATTGTCGTTTTGTGCTTCAGGCTCTTGTGTTGTTCGGGATGCCACTGGGAATGTTAATGACACCATTGTAACAGAGTTAACCAACTGTACTTCTGCAGCATGCAAATTAAACTTTGACTTTTCATCTTGTGAAACCAGTCGTTGTTCCTATGGTCTAATGAACAACTTTCAGGTGAGCATCAAGTTGAATATGGTAAGGCTTTCTGGTTTTATATAGGGGATACACTTTTTGAATGGTCAGATCTTGACCATTCAGAATATAATAAATTAGAAAGGAAGGATTGTTACTCCCCTCCAAAAAAAAAAACCCTATTATTCACAAGGCAAGCAGAAATATGAAAGAGTAAATTGTGAATCTGTCTGTGAGCAAAAGATCTTTGAGTATAGCCATTTTATAATTTATATGTATGTGCGTGTATGTGTGTGTGTGCACACCCCGGTATGTGTGGTGTATAGCGAGGATTTCAGAAAGCAGGAAAGCTTCTGAAACATCTCTTATGTGAGTCATATTTGGGTCATAATTTGTAGATTTTTCTTTGTTGGATTCCATTGAACTTTGTGTTCATCCTTTGTCCAGCACCACACAGCTTTGCTTATAATAGTTCTGTAATAGGTTTTGGAGTCAGGTAGCCTAATTCTTTCTACCTGTCCTTTTTTAAAATAGTTGTAGCTGTTTTACTTTATTTATGATTAACTGCTTTGTATTTACATGTACTTCTTTAAAAAAATACTGACCTGTTACTTAGCATGATTATATGAAGTCCTGCTATACCAAACCACTTAAATAGTAAATTCATAGACTATATAGCATTATTTTTTATTTAAGTACTTTTAGTAGTTTTAAATATTGGACTCAATTATGTAATAGAAATTTGTGTTTTCTAGTCATAAGACTAGACATAAGTATGGAATGAAAGAAAGTATTCATATCTACTACTGATGCAAGCCCATTCTGACACTGATACTGTGTATGAAAGGCACAGTATCTGCCCAGTGACTGGGAATGCCAGTCTGATTCTGTGTTGTGCCTTAAAATTCAAAACCTTGTTGTTTCCAAGTCTACTGTAGGCATATCCAAACACAGAGGAAGGCGGTATTAATAAAGCTCATTTTCAATTTTAGTAAATAATTTTATAATGCTTTGTCAAACTGTGAAATGGTGAAAATATGTAGAAATAAAAATCACTTGTCATTGAGAGAATGAAAAAGGTGATTAGAATATAAGTGGTTCACAAGTCAGATAAAATCTATATGAACCACACTTTATAGTACTTTTGTATATAATTAATTTTTTAGGTTTAAAGTCAGTTTTCAAGATTTATGCATTCTTATGTTTCTACATCTTAATGTTCTGTCAAATATGTGACTCCACCATTGTCTGGTAAAGAAAATCTGAGCTGCTTTGTTTTGCTAGTTAAAGATTGTCATTCTTGAACTGTACACTGCCTTCAGCTCATTCTGGACTCCAGGCATTTGTGTGTATGCATGTACATACACAAATACTTACTATGCTTTTCCTTCATTCACTTCTTTGTCCTGCTTGAAGCGCACCTGTACACCATAACACACATTTATCTTGTTCACTCTTCACCTGTTATTAGACTTTTCTCTTTTTGTCCTCTGTGATAGAAGACCATCTTGTTTTGCATCTCTGGTTCTACTATTTAGTATGAGCAACATTGATACTACCTTTATTTACATTCAGTATTATTCTCCTTGAAGCTCATAGTTCATCACATTTTAGAAATGCAAAAGGTATGAATACATGTTTAATTGGAAAACCAGAAGTTTAGTAGGCAATATACTGGCGGTTCCCTACTATACAGTATTAACATTATTCACATCAATCCAAAGCTGATAGGAAAAGGAAAATGTACTTGTTTCTTTAACCTAGAAGCTGAAAGAGGATACAAATATGTGATGGCTGATGAGGTTTTTGTCTTTGTCCACCATGTGTTATGCATGCATTGTCTTTTTTATTTTGGTCAGTCCCAGGGTTTGAACTCAGAGCCAAGATGAACACAAGCCCATTCAACTTGCTAGCTCATGGCTGTCACTTTACCACTTGAGCCTCGTAACTCAGCCTTTTTTTTTTTTTTTTGCTTGTTAACATGGAATCTTGGGAACTTCTCTGCCAAGACTGACTTTCAACTGTAATCCTTCAGGTCTCAGGCTTTTGAGTAGCTGAGATTATTTAAGTATAAGCCACAGGCACATGACCTGATATTTTCTGTTCTTTACAACTTTATCTTTGGACTTAATATATTTGGAGGTTATCACAGATAGGCATGGAATTTTGTTGATACAGCAGAAGTTAGGTCTGTTCATTTTTAGTCTTTGCTTACTTTGTCCTTAAAATCTTTTGTCCTTAAAATCTCTTTCCTAGCAGTTAGGCTGACAGTGCCAATCTAGCTATACTTCCTGTGACAATAGTGATTTAAAAAAAAACCTGGTGGCATACATGAAACTGTGCGATTGTTCCCAATGGCTACACAGAAATCCCTCCTCACATCAGTGCTAATGCGCCTTATTAAGACATTTAGAATTCTTGTTTTTAAGTCTACTGGAAGATGCAAAGCAATACATTTTAGTAACAGCAGTTTATGAACATGATAGGGGGTTTATGCATCATGGCCAAGAATTGTGCCCAAAGCTGGTTTTATGTCCATTATAAACTATTCAGTTGTAGAATAGTGTATGATAGACACAACCGCTTAAATCAATTTACCTCATTGGCCTCAGTTTGCAAATTCTTTGTCAATATAAATGAAAATGAAAGGTAAATATCCCCTACTGAAGCAATAAATCTAAGTAATGATAACCATTTATTCCTAGAAATTTTATAATGGTGGGTTTAAATGATTTTGGTTTTTTTGGGGGGGGAAGGGGACTCGGTCATGGGGCTTGAACTCTGGGCCTGGGCACTGTCCCTCAGCTCTTCAGATAATGGTGGATTTAAAATTAAATTTATTTGGTGGATTCGATACTTGAATGTTTTCACCTTAATTTTATATATTGAAGCTTTCAGAGATACTGAAGGGCTTTGCAGTGAATACCTGTGTTATCTTTCGGTTATATTTACTTTCTGTTTACATTTTGCCCATTTGTTTTGTCTGTCTAGTGTACAATACTTTTCTCATCAATTATAAGAGAATAACACAGAATTACGGCATGACAATCAGTTTAAAGGGTTTATGGTATTTTGTACAATCACAGTATAGTTCTCCCACTTCAGAAGTTTAACATTGCTAAGGTACTGTTTACTTGTTCCAGTAATGCTCTTTATTTTTCCTAGGTCCAGGTTCCAAGGTAGGACTACAAATAGTGTTTAGTTCCTTGCCTCTTAATCTTGGCAATTCCTAGCCTGTCTTAATCTTTAAGACCTGCTGACTTTTTGTGCTGGCCAACAAAGTAGCTTTACATTGCGCTTCTTCTTTTATACTTACCAATGTCTCCTCATGATCTGAATGATCAGTCTTTTTTTTTCAGTTGAGGAAAGTTATAAAGGCATAGTACACAGAGAAAGCATTGTACAGGGCATAGCCCCAACGTCATCAATTCCAATAAATGACTAATTATGTTTTATTTACAACTTCCTACATCCCAGATCACTTAGAGGGGATCTGGAGGCTTTCTTTCATATCCTTTGGTTGGATATACTTCCATATTTTATTGAACCCAAATACTTTTGTGTGCTCGCCAAGAGTTACACTACTTCAGCTAGGCCCTGCCCCCCACTCCCAGTTCATCACCTCCACTTTTTTCTCAGTGCTAGACTTTGAATTCTCTCCATCTTGAGAGGTGCTCTACCACTTAGCCCTAAGCTCAGGAATTGTTTCTTAAACATAGTGTAATGCTATCTTAATATCCCAAAAAGAAACAAACTTTCAGATAGAATCAGTGTAACTCAGTCTAAAGCAGTTCACTAGAAGTAGAACATAAACAACACAGTGGGGATGTAATCAGCAAACTCTAGAGTGTTGACCTCTAAAGGAGAAATGGCATCAGCACATAATGAATAAAATGAAAGTATTTATAAAACTGTCGACTGAAGAAGAGTCAGATTTGGCAAGCAAATATAATTAATTTTTTGTGGAGGAATTGTTTTAAACAAATGTTTAAAACTTACCAAGAAAAAAGGGATAATTGAAGGAATTTTAATGCTGCTGGGATATGAGGTACTATGAAGGAATGACTTAATTTTGTAGTGTGGAACAGTGGCATTCTAGTTAAGTTTTCTAAAGTCTGCACCTGGTAGAGACATATGGAAACTTAGGTATCAAATATCTACATTTGTGTTAAAACACTGCAGAGATTGGCTGTGTTGATAATTGATCACGCCTGGTGTTAGGTCATTATTACCTCTTTGCTATTTTATGTATTTGAAAGTTTACAATTTTTTTCTTATAATAAAGAGTAGTAGTAAATCTGTATTTAACATTTGTAATACACTTATCATATTATCCCTGGTATTAGTTTCTTTTAGAGGAGTCAGGATTAATACTGTGCTGTTTTTCAAGTTATCTGTAATACTGTCTTCTTCTTTTTGTCACTTTTATTTAAGGTAATGAGCATGGTATCAGGATTTGCACCACTAATTTCTGCAGGTATCTTTTCAGCCACTCTTTCTTCAGCATTAGCATCTCTTGTGAGTGCTCCCAAAATATTTCAGGTAAGTGTTTAAATGTTACAAGCTTTATTGAAGGGAAAATTAAAGTAATACTTTTAAATTTGGGGTTACTGCTATTTTCAAATTAGTTACACCTATCTACTTCAGATCTATGATATAAACACATATATGTGATAGGTAAATGCATGAATATATATACTCATACATATGGAATGTAGATTGTCATACGTATATGTAAGGACCAAAAATGTACATGTTGTATTCATACATACATTTTTGCATTTTCTACTATCAAGATATAATAGTTGAATTACCTTTTTAGAAATGATGAATTGTGCTTTTTGGCCTACTATTATAACAACATGCTAATCTAATTGTTTTGTTTTACAAGTACTCAGATGTTTATTATGCACATCATACTGTATTAACTGCCACAAGTGTAATGATAAATAGGATGATCAGTATTTCTATTGAATGAACATTAAAAAAAATACCAGATAGTGACTAGGAAATACTTGTTGTTATTAAACCAAACAAAAGAAATACTGATTCTTCAGCATTGTTCTTAATCATAGTTGTCAGTACAATAAAAGTTGTTAATATCATAGTTGGTCAGTATAATAAAAGTATAGAATGTATTTCTTAAAACAATATTCAGTGATGTTTTAAGGGAAATGGTTGTTTTATAATTAGGATTTTTATTTGTTTAAAATTTGGATTTGTACTCCATTTGCTTAAAAATATAATTTACTATGTCATCCTTATCAAGCTTACAATTTCCTTTCTATTGTACTTTTATATATCTGCCTCTTAATTCCTTCCTTATAAAATGAATTTTATTAGAGATAAAAACTAAAGTGCTATGCTAAACCATCTGTTACTTCTGATGTTTGGAATGTTTGACAATTCTTTATATTTTGTAGATTAAACAATGAAATAGGAAAGAAAGAGGAAAAGGAATTAAAAACTTGGGTCCTCTTCATGATTAACTTATTTTAACTGTAAGAAAATTTGTATGTCTTAATTTTAATATATTTCATCTTAATGTTTGTACTTTTTCATTAGGCTCTGTGTAAGGATAATATCTACCCAGCATTTCAGATGTTTGCTAAAGGTTATGGAAAAAATAATGAACCTCTTCGTGGTTACCTCTTAACATTCCTAATTGCACTTGGATTCATCTTAATTGGTTAGTTATAATAAATAGTGTTACATGTAGATTTGGTACATTTATGGCATTAATTCTAACAAATTAGTACATTATTTCTTTGCTTGCTATGCTAGTTTGATTTCTTTCTAATCAAGTGAAAGAATGTGTAAAGTGCTGCAAATCTTGGTGCTCAATAGATAATTGCTAAAATTATTACTATCATCAAATCACCATTGGGGCTAGATTCTTATTCTTGAAACAAATGTGAAAATAGTTTAAGGAACAGTGTGCTAATGTCTTCTCAGGAAGACACTTCCACTGATAGATTTTTGCCTCTGACCACAAGTGAGCCTGTAGGCCTTCCACTGCTGAAGAAGAGTGCATGGATTTTGAAATACAAAAATCATGTCTCACCCCTTAGATTGTTGACATTGGAAATCTACTAATGCCAACAATTACCGTGTCATGTAGGAACTAACTCGTGTACTGTGGATAACAAATCGGCAATGTCTGTCTAGTAAAGTATCCCAGTGTTTAGCAATACTTTTTTTGGAATGCACATTAAGAGAAACTTGCAGTTTTGTCCAAAGTGCATACACAAGAGTGTTTCTGGTGTTGTAACAGTGCAAAATGGAAATAACCTAAATGAACAGAAGAATGAAACTTCAAAGTAATATGCAAGTTAAAAAATGAATTAGGGGGCTGGGAATGTGTCTTAGTGGTAGATAGAGTGTTTGCATGCATGAAGCCCTGGGTTCGACTCCTCAGTACCACATAAACAGAAAAGGCCAGATGTGGCGTTGTGGCTCAAGTGGTAGAGCGCTAGCCTTGAGCCAAAGAAGCTTAGAGACAGTGCCTAGGCCAGGTTTGCCGAGTTCAAGCTTCAGGACTGAGGGGAAAAATGAATTAGTTCAGTTTATGTAAATCAATATCAATGAATTTTAGGTATAAATATAGAAGATAAAATTGAATAATGACACATATGGTATGATAATACCACAAATAATCTTGTAAGATGCAAGTGTATGTGTGTGTGTGTGTGTGTGTGTGTGTGTGTATATGTACACATATCATGTATGATTTTACTACAATACATATAATCCTACTGGCGGGAATATACCAGTTTTTAATAGTGAGGTTGAGGTTCATCTGTGTGCATATAGTGTAATGTATGAAAAGTAAAGTATTTGTACTTCTGGCAGAATAAACATTCAGTCTAGGTCATAAATATTGTGTGGTATTCATTAGGTTTTATTTAGAGATTTTAAATACTTTGTAATTTAAAATGTCATTAATATTTACCTCATATTTCTTTTGCAGCTGAACTGAATGTCATTGCTCCAATTATCTCTAACTTCTTCCTTGCATCATATGCATTGATCAATTTTTCAGTATTCCATGCATCACTTGCAAAATCTCCAGGTGATTTTTCATTGTTTATACACGTTTTCAATGTGATAATATATTTGATTCCAAAAACCACAAAATTTTACATAAATCTTCAAAGAGATTTTTATCATGAAATTCGCTGATATTTGATTTCTTTTTTTCTGAGCATTTAAGATACCATTAGTTGTTAATTCTGACTTATCAGTGTGAAAGAAATAGTCTCATTTTAAAGTCTGTTTTCACTGTTTAGCTAATTGTTTCAGTACTGTAATACTATTACTATGATACAGTTAACCTCCCATATATAACTATGATATAGTTAACCTCCCATCCCTTTTGTATGTTGAGGATTTAACCCAGAGCCTCATGCCTACTAACCATGAGTTCTATCAGTGAACTTCAATCCTAGGCTTGAAAACGTTTAAAATATGATGAGTTCTATGGAATTCTAACATAAGGACACTGTACCAATTGAAAAATAATGTATGGGGCTTTTGTTATAAACTGACAATAATTAGAAATAAGGAAAGTACAAAAGAAAATCACACTCTAGTACAGGAAAAACAAAGTATATGAACTTTGGGCACAAAATTTTCAGCTTCTATTTTTGCCTTTAAGATAAAATTTTATGGGCTGGGAAGGTGGCTCAGTGGTAGAGCTCTTGCCTTGTATGCATGGGGCCCTGGGTTCGATTCCTCAGGACAACATAAATAAAAAGAAAAGCTGGAAGTAGAGCTGTGGCTCAAGTGGTAGAGTGCTAGCCTTGGGCTGAAGAGCTGAGGGACAGTGCTCAGGCCCAGAGTTCAGGTCCCACGATCGAACCCAGAAAAAAAAAAGATAAAATTTTATTGAAATCATCCTATATTTTTTGGTGGGGAGGATACTGGTAACTAAATTCAAGGACTCACTTCTTAGGCAAAGGCTCTATCACTGCAGTCACACTCTGATCTCTGCATTTAGTTTATTTTTCAGATAGTCTCCCACTTTTTCCCAGATTATGATCTTCTTACATCAACCTTCTGCCTAACTTTTATTATAGTGATACACACACGTATATAGTGATATATATATATATATATATATATATATATATATGTATGTATGTATATGTATACCTGTGGTAGCTGGAAAGAAAGCTGTTTTGTGCTGGCATATGTATCTCTGTAAAAGATGATGAATAGGTGACTTTAATCAGTCTGTTTGTTGTTAGGGTGGCGGCCTGCATTCAAATACTACAACATGTGGATATCACTTCTTGGAGCAATTCTTTGCTGCATAGTAATGTTTGTTATTAACTGGTGGGCTGCATTGCTAACATACGTGATAGTCCTTGGGCTGTATATTTATGTTACATACAAAAAACCAGGTTAGTAGAATTTCTTATTTAGTGTTTCATGCTAGAAAATGTGTAAAAGTTCTTTATTACTTGTCATATTTTTAAGCATCAGCTTGTATATGTTTGAAAGGTACTTCATATGAAATCTGAAGTATTTTCTAAGTTTATCATTTTCTCTTCAAATATGTGTGATTTCAGTGAAACAATTAACCATAAGCTTTCTCCCTATGGGATTTTATTCTTGTCCATGAATTAAATGACTAATTTTATTTTTTACTATAATTAACATTCAGAAGTACTGTACTAGAGTTCAACCTCAGGGCCTTATACATACTAGCAAGAAGTCCCTGAGGTGTGTCCCTAGACTTGAAGAAACATTTTTAATTGAGATATGAAATAAGATATAAAATGATGAGCTTTTGGGTTAGAGTATTAACTCTAAATTGGGACAAAGATGCTATTATTTTAACCAAATCTTTTTCTAACATACATTAAAAACTAATATGTCTGAAATCATTTTTGGGGATTTACTTGTTCTAAGCATGAGATTTTCATTGTCAAATAATGTGAACAATTCAGTAGTATATATGATCTACCTTTTTACCTTTGACTACATAAACAGTAAGTTAAATGTTGAGCTTTTGTATACAACGTAAATGCAACACTAGCATCTCTGCTAAATTATACTGTTTAAAGAGCACTAGAGATAAGATGACCATAGTCTTAATGTCATAGTATATTTGGAAACTATATCAAGTTATAAGCATGGTTCTTTATTTCTGCAATTGAGATGTTATATAAGAAATGACGCATTTCAAGTTTCTGTCAATGTCAAGTTGATTATCAGTTGGTGATCATTGTTTTTTTTTTATGAACATTGTTCCCACAGATGTAAATTGGGGATCCTCTACTCAGGCTCTGACTTACTTAAGTGCTCTGCAGCACTCAATTCGTCTTTCTGGTGTAGAAGACCATGTGAAAAACTTCAGGTAGGTTATGATGTAAGATGGAAATATTTCTCTCAGCTGGCCACTCATTTCTTTAGTTATTGCTAAGGCACATATTCATATGTTAACATTTCATAAAAAGGTCTTTAAAAGTATAGAACATATTAGCCATGTGCCGGTGACTCATGCCTGTCATCTTAGCCACTCAGGAGGCTGAGATCTGAGGATCATGGTGCAAAGCCAGCTCAGGCAGGAAAGGCTATCAAACTCCTATCACCAGTAAACCACCAGAAAACCAGAAGTGGCAATGTGGCTCAAGTGGTAGAGCACTGTCTTGAGCTGAAGAGCTGAAGGACAGCACTCAGGCTCAGAGTTTAAACCCCATGACCAACATCCCCTCCCCTACCCCCCAGAAAAAAAAAGTACAGAATATTCTGTTTTGTTTACTTGAGCACGGGCAAATTTAATTACTAAAACTGTTTCTTTGAAAACTGTTAGAGTTTTGGGGCTCCCTGTCACTTTTAAGACTTAAATGATAGGTTTCATAAAGTGAAAGCTTTTTTTTTCTTTGTGATCATTAATATTGTATTACTTTAGATATACTAAAGGCTAATGATTTTTTAACTCTTTATATTTAAGAAGATTTTTGAGATATCTTATTTTGTGACTTTATTAAGACAATAGTATTTTTGTTACTGGCTTTTTTCATTAGTGAATAGCTGAATGGCTTATGGTGATAAGGAATCAATGCCTCAGGCCAGGCATAGTTGCTTAACACTAATACTAGTTACTCTGATGGTAAATATTGTTAAGATTGTGGTTGGAGGCTAGCTTGGGCAAAATCTGAAGACCCTCCTGAAAAGTACTAAGGTAAAAAAGGGCTGGGGACATGGCTTAATTGGTAGAGCACCTGTCTAGCATGTATGAGATTCTGAGTTCAAACCTCAGTATTGATTGCCCCTCCTCCAGAAAAATAGAATTTATATTTTAATCTTTATACTTGGTTATTTTAGTATATTTCTAATTGAATTCACTCCATTTCTAAAGCACTATTGGTATATACTCTGAGGGTCAGGAATAATACTTGTGTAGATTCTTAGGACCTATTGGTTATTTGTATCTTAATTGTCATTTTTCAAAAAGCAGGTGATTGGACAGTGATTTATAAATTATATATTTTAATTGTAAATTTATAAGTCATTGAAGTTGAGCTGTGAGTGACTTTTAGTTAGGGAAAATTACCTCATTCACTTCTGTGTAGATTGTGTACTGCCTTCATCAGTAAACTGAAAGAAAAATGTTCAAAAAAAATTTTTAAGTGTTCACTAGGTACTGATGGCTCACTCCTATAATGTTAGCTACTCATGAATATGAAATCTAAGGATCGCGGTTCAAAGCCAGCCTGGGCAGGAAAGTCTGTGAGACCCATATCTTCAGTAAACTATGAAAAAGCTGGAAGTGAGCTGTGGTTCAAGTGGGACACCACTAATCCTGAGCAAAAAAGCTCAAGGATGGCACCCAGGCCCTAGGACTGGCACCAAAAAAAGGTGTTCTACCATATCTCTCCTAGTAAGAAGTAGCAAAGTTAATTTGTCACTAATAAAAACCTTAATTTTGTCATAGTTCTATAACTGGAACATTTTTAAAAAATACACCCCAATTTATTTATTTAGACATAGTTTCACTGTATATTCTAGAGTGGTCTTAAATTCATAGCCTTCCCCTGCCTGAACTTCCAGGCATGAACATAGAGAAACCAATCTGTAAAATTTTGGCTTGAAAACAAGTACTTGTCTCACCCCTCATCTCTCTTTCTCTTATACCATAAATACCACTTTGAACTCTTTGCTGAATTTTTTTTCTTCAGTAATTAACTTCATAATCCCATGCTTGTCTTGTGCTTTGTGATTTTTACTTTTAGGCATTATTTCTTGATGCCTTTAATCTGTTCCTGACACATGCATGCAACCTTCACTGTTACGCCATCTCCCCATCTCACAATATACTACAATATATTGTTATCTTGTTATTTAGTATTTACATTTCTATGACTTTAAAAAATCAGGATGGCAATTTTATTATTTATTATCTTCAAAGATAGATAAAAGGATAGTAGACAAAGGATTTCAATTAAACAACTCCATTTATGCCTACTAGGATTTTTTTTTTTTCCAGTCATGGGGCCTGAACTCTGGGCCTGGGTGCTGTCCCTCAGCTCTTCAGCTCAAGGCTACCACTCTACCACTTGAACCACAGCGCTACTTTAGACTTTTTCTGCTTATGTGGTGCTGAGGAGTTGAATCCAAGGCCTCATGCATGCAAGGCAAGCACTCTACCACTGAGCCACAATCCCAGCCCATATAAGGCTTCTTGAACAGTCTTGCCTTCCATTGTTTTTACTCACTTATCTCTCTGCTTTCTAGCAGTGAGCATTTCAATGCTATTTGTTCTGTAAGTTTTCTTTTGTTGTCTTCATGCTTTCTAAAAAAAACCCAAAATTTCATACCATAGAGATTTTCAAGAAAAGAGTTAAAATCAGAGAAATGCTATTTGCTTTGTTCGTGCTATGTTTTCTACTCAGCAAAGATAAAGAAAAATTAAACTCTCACAAAACAGGTGAGGTGTCTCAAGCCTGTAATCATAGCTACTTGAGAGGCAGGAGACCAGGAGATTAAGGTTGGAGGCCATCCTAGGAGTGAAAGTTTACAAGACTATCTCAGCCAGTGGTTGTATGTTACATACCTGCTATCCCAGCTACTAGTGAAACACTGTGTTTGGGCACAGTGTTATGTGTGTCATTTTCAGCAACATGTAATAGCACAAGTAGTATCAAAGCTCAGGCCACTCAAGAGCTAAAGTAAGACCCTGTCTCGAAAAGCAACAATGCAAAAGACTGTTGGAGGCATGGTTTCAGTGGTAGATCCTTCCTAGCTGGCAGGAAGCACTGAGTTCAATCCCTAGTAAATAATAATAATAATGTTGTTGTTGTTATTTAGGGTACTTTCTAAATTACCATTGAAGAAAAACTGAAAACTATAGTAGCTGTGTCCACAAGTAGATGAATGGATGGTTCCTAAACAAGTAGGCAGATTTAGTCATTTGAGATCCATACAGCTTATATCTTGTCAGTCTCCCATTTTCTAAAATATGTTTCTGCCCATATGGGTCATTTATCACCACACCTGTGGTCTATCTTATAGGAAAGAAAATGGATAGAAGAGAGCAGCTTCTTTTTGAAGGACATAACCTGGAAATAGGAACAGGGGCTATCAATTACTCACAGGAATACTGCTTCCTCCTAGGATGGCCAGTAAATGTCCTCTGTAGTAAGGGAGTTATGTAACCTGCTGTACTCAGAAACAGGACCATATAGTCAAAGAAAGAAGCAGTTAGCAGCCTTGATTATGTAGCATAGCACACTGTTTGATTTCCCCAGAGGTACTATCCCAGACAAATTAGATCTTTCAGCTAATTTGCACAATTCTAAAAAGTTAGTACTTTTAAAAAGTCTTCATAGGTTTTCATGATTAGTTTACATAATATCCTACAAGTTAATTGTGTAAGTTTGAAATTTTAGTTTGTTACTTGTTTAAAACTTGTTAAAAATTTAATGATAGAAATTCTTTAAAGAACTTTTGTTAAATTATTATGACTAATAAAATGGATTCCTGAATGTTTTTGCATTAAATGAGATTTATTTCCACTTCTAGTCAGTAAAAATTAAGTTAAATATATATGAAATGCATGTCACTGTCTCATGTTTCTAAGAACAAATGAATTCAACACTCATCAGTAATAAGAATTAAAAGCTTTGAGTTCACATAGAACTTTTAGTCTAAATCATCAGAAGTGATTTTATTTATTTGAGATTAGTCATAAAAATTAAGAGACAGAGAAGGATGATAATATGCATTAGAAGTAATTCTGGTAAGATGAAGGTAACCTGTTTATAAAGGCAATACTCAAAAAACTTTGCAAGCTCTAAGAAAGAATTTGAGTAATGATTGCTTTTAGAGGATAAAAAATTTTACATAATTTTTAACAAGCATGATAATCTTTCCATAATACCAACAGAATCTTGATTGTATAATGTCACCTTTTGTTTGGATGTGGACCTACTTTTTGTTTTACCTTAATTTCTCCTATCAAAAATGTGTGGTTAAAAGTTCTCTGTGAGAACCCTATTGCGTCTGTCTTATGAAGACACAGCTAAAAAGTCATGTTCTTGTTGCTGAAAACACAAACTTCTTTATCTTTTTTAATCTCAAACTAGGCCACAGTGTCTTGTCATGACAGGCTGTCCAAACTCACGCCCAGCTTTACTTCATCTTGTTCATGATTTCACAAAAAATGTTGGTTTGATGATCTGTGGCCATGTACACATGGTAAGTATCACTTCTGTTTTCTGAGTTAAAATAATTTTTGCATAGCTTGTCATTTGTATACCTTTCTAGATTGGAAATTAGTTGATAACCTGTTTTTTTTTAAGTTAGTATATATGAATTGTACAAAGGGGTTTATAGTGATACTTATTACTATATTATATTTATTTTATATTGATACTTATTATCATTATATTATTTCCATATTTATTAAAGTACCTATAATGTACTTGAATCATTTTCTGATTAAAACATGGAAATTTTTTTTTTTTGGCTTGGCTGAAATTTTTTTTTTTTTATTGTAAAGATACTATACAGAGGGTTACAGTTACATGAGTGAGGTAATGAGTACACTTCCGCTTGAACATTGTTACCCCCTCCAAAACATGGAAATTTTTAAATGTCAGAATCCTTTTACTAAAAAAAAACACTACTTCGAGACTATTTAGAGGCAAAATATTTAGAATAAAACTTCCTTTAAAAGAAAAAGAAAGCTGGTGTTGGTAGCTCATGCCTATATCCTAGCTACTCAGGAGGCTGAGATTTGAGGAACATGGTTCAAAGCCAACTAGGGCAGAAAAGTCCATGAGACTCTCTCTAGTTTACCACCAAAAAATTAGAAGTACAGCTGTGGCTCAAAGTAGTACAGTGCTAGCTTTGAATAAAAACAGCCAAGAGACATTGCCCAGGCCCTGAGTTCAAGCCCCATGACCAACCAAAAAAAAAAAAAAAGGAAGAAAAAGAAATTCAAACAAAGGGAGCATAGTCCATCCAAGTAACAAGAGCCAAGCCCTGGTTTCAGCCCCCAGTACCAATGCTGCCAAGGCCCTGCAAGGCTCTGGGTTCAACCTCCAGTACCAAATCCCCAGTACTGCAAACAAGCCAAACCAATAACTACAAGAACAGAAGCAAACAGTAACAAAAAGAAACAACAGTTGAAATCTAGACCTTACAACTTCTTTTTAATAATCAATATAAAATGGGGACCTATTTGGGAGAGGATCAGCAGAAAAAGGAAGGAAGGAGGAGATGGGTAGGTGAATATTATTGAAGTACGTTATATACATGTGTGAAAATGTCATTGATAATGAAACCCATTGTAAAGCAGTGATAATCTGTGAACCAGTGGCTCATGCCTGTAATTCAACTATTCAGGAGACTGAGATCTGTGAAGTGAGGCTCAAAGTCAGCCAGTCAACTACCAAAATGCTTGAAGTTGAGCTATTGTTCAAGTGGTAGAGCAATAGACTTGAGCACATATAGCTAAGGGACAAGTACCCATACCCTGAGTTCAAGCCTCAGGACCAGCACACAAAGGAGTGGAATGGGAGAAGAGTATAAACATGATAAGAAGTTAATAAAAGTTTTTTTTTTATTTTTTGGCATCTTTAACTTTGGGAACAATCACTGGATGATAGTTCAACTATTCAGTGTACAAAAAGTGGATAATTTATGTTTGGTGAGAATTTTCTCTAAGCTCAGTTCACTTATTTTGGTGCTGGGAACGTATGTTATATGATACATGTCTCCACTTCTGTCAGAGTTTCTGTTCTGCTTGCATAGTGGCAAAGTCAAGGGGTGTGTGTGTGTGTGTGCGCGCATGTGCATGCATGTGTGTAAGTGGGTGGCAAGATACAAGAGGAAGGCACTGGCCTCAATTGCGATGTTTGTCTCCAGTTTGTCTCCAGGCTGATCAATTCAGGTCAGGGTTGAGCACAAGATGTTACAAATGAGGCAATTTTCCTACTAGAAAAGATAAATTGTATAAATTGTATTGTTCTTTTGCTTATTCATGCTAGGGTGTATATTCTTAAAATTTTACATTTTTGTTTTCTTTGTTTATGTATAACATTTTATGCGTTGCTTACAAGGGTCAAAATGGAATTTCCTTTCTTAGGAAGAAAAATGTATGAATATTATACAGTTGACTTTTATTTTCAGTAATGTTTTTAAGTTGCTAAGAATAACTCAGACATTGAAGCCAAACAAAAAGCAAACTTCTGGAGAAAAATAGAAGCTCTGGGTGATCTCTTCTCCATTATCAAGTGTCTCATTTTTTTCTAACTTGTCTCGTTAATTGAGGATGGAATTGGTTTTTAATTTTTGTGTCTTTTCCCCTCTTCCTCTCGTTTTGCAGCACTTACACCTTTAATGCTTCACCAACTCTGTCTTTTTTTTTGTAGTGATTTTTAATGTTTTTTTTATTGTAAAAATACTGTACAGAGGGGTTACAGTTCATGAGTAAGGTAATGAGTACATTTCCTATCGAGCATTGTTACCTCCTCCTTTGTTTTTCTCCTACCATCCCTTCCTTCCCCCTCTCCCCAACTCCTTCCTCCCCCACAAGTTGTAAAGTTTGTTTTCAATATAGTGTCTTGTACATCTCATTGTTACAGTGGGTCAACCTGTCACCTTATTTCAGCATTTTGTTATTTCCCTTCCCCTCCCAAAATTAGAAAAAGGCATATATACAAGTGTTTTTTTCTTGCTATTGTTTTTAACATATTTAATATGTATTATGTGCTTTTTCTTGTTTCTCTTGTATGTTCTTCCCTCATGGTATAACCCGTTTTCACTGTATTTGATGTTGATGCCCAACTCTGTCTTTTGATAACTTAAATATTAGAAAAGATTCACTATGATGTGAATTAAATACTAGTATAATAGGATGTTCACTTAAGGAGGTAAAGTTGATTAACTTTCAAGTAAAGGTCTTGTTAATGTTTTTTTATAATGAAGGGCCCTCGAAGACAGGCCATGAAAGAGATGTCCATTGATCAAGCCAAATACCAACGGTGGCTCATTAAGAGCAAAATGAAGGCTTTCTATGCTCCAGTACATGCAGATGACTTGAGAGAAGGTGCACAGTACTTAATGCAGGTGAGTTAGTCTGCCAAATGCCTATGTTTAAGTTGTGTGAGAGCTTTTAAGAACTTCATTATTTAAATTTCATTCTTCATATTAATGCAAGTGAATGTATAGTAGATCTTAACTGCTAAGATTTTTGTAATTTAGAAATAAATATATTTCAGAAACTTTGTGCTGTTGACTGAAACAAAGCATCTCTTTGAAAGCTATCTTAGATAGTTTCTCTCGTATAATATATTTTGTGCTTAAGTACTGCTCTACCTCCCTTGTTTTATTTTAAGAATAGTAAGCAAAATAATCCTTATTTAATTTTTTTAAATTTCTATTGTTACTATAAAGGTCATATACACAGGAGTTACAGTTCCATAAGTCAGGTAAAGAGTACATTTCTTTTTGGCAGTCTCATCCCTTCCCTCACTGTCTACCAGTGTTTCCCTCCTGTCCCCCTACAAGTTATATAGTTCATTTTACCACTGCTGCATTTGTTCACCTTTTGTCCCTCCATTTCTGTGCCTACCCTGAACCTCCCCAACGACAGATACACCAAAAAGACAAAAAGAAAACAACAACAAAGAAAACAACCTCTTGTTTCTGTTTCCTGGAGTTTATTTTGATAAATATTATTTTATATGATCAGATTATATATAGGCATGGTGTCTGAGTTTTTTGGTAAGAATGTTAAATAAAATAATCTTTATTTAATTAAAAATCCTAGCCCCTTGTATTCATATTCTGTAGCTGGATTCTAACTATAGATTATGCCATTATATGAACTAGTGAGAATTGGTTATTGAGGCCATCACTACTGGCTGACCTTTTAACACTTAACTATTCTGAATATGTAGCTAAAACACCTCTTTTCTTTTCCCTCAATGAATTTTAATGTAGTATAGATCTCATACTATTACTCAATTAAATTTAGGGAACCATTTTATTGGGTATGTTTTTATAAATAGAAAGCTACACGCCATTGGGGAAGCAGTTGTTCCTGCTATTGTGAGAATGGCTATAATGATTCACAGAAAATTATAACAAGTTAAATGCATTTCTACTCAGCAAATCCTCATATAGTACATAGAAAACATTGCTTAAAAATGTGAAGAAATAACCCTGTTGGGATATTTGATTGAAACTAATGATAAGCTTCAGATGATTTTATTTTTTATATTACAAGTTAGTTTCACAAACAGAATGTTTTAAGAACTGATTTTCTATCAACCACTGTGGAAACAAGTTCTGAAGAAGATACATTTCTCATAACAAACTAATTTGTTTTGCTTAAACATATATAATGCTGTATGGAAACTGACAACTGTGCTATTTAACTGAATAGCTTCTCTGATTAGAATTTATGAATGATTTAGTGATGAGAGGATGCATGTGTGCTTCTTTATCCACTCATTTCTGGGGAAATTATTGCAGTAAAGAAGTTGGAAGCAAAAGCACACAGAATATAACACAAGAAGTAAATTTTATAAAATTGAAACTTCTGGAGGTAGAGATATTAGTAGGAACATGAGACATATCTACATGTACAAAGCCACAAGTTCAATCCACAGCACCAAAGTATAGTGGAACTATAAGAAATTCATGATGAATGATACTATTTTGTACCATCGAGAAGTTACTAGTTACCTTATACAACTTAGGTTTTTACAGAAGCTTTAAAATCTAAAGATAATTCTTAATTTCCTTTTGTATCCTCCCCCAAAGTAACTAAAATATATGTGGCTAGTGGTTACCTAGAAAATATTATGTTTTTAAAGAAAAACAAAAGTGATCCCCTGGGCCTGGACATAAGAATTTACTCAGCTTACTTGTTTGGCTGTTACTGAACCACTTGAGCTATGCTTCCAGCCTGGCTTTTTTTTTTCTTTTTGTCAGTCATGGGGCCTGAACTCCACTTGGGCACTGTCCTTCAGCTCTTCAGCTGTAGACTAGTGCTCTACCACTTGAGCCTCAACCCCACTTCCAGCTTTTTCTCCTTATGTAGTGCTGAGGAATCGAACCCAGGGCCTCATGCATGCAAGGCAAGCACTCTACCACTGAGCCACCTTCCCAACCCCAATCTGGCTTTTTTTTTTATGGCTATTTTGGAGACAAAGTTTCCAGGATCCTTCTGTCTGATCTGGCTTTGAACATTGATCCTCTTAGCTAGGGTTTTAGGCATATACCGTTGGTACCTATCTAATATTGAGTGCTTTCTATCTGTCCCTTCAAAGCAAAGATGTTGGTTTTATTAATAAAGAGAAAAATGCTTTGAAATTTATGATGAATAAAATAGTTTTGGAGATGGATGTAAACTTTATAGGTTTAGAAGTGCTACTGCTCCTTAATTATCTCAAGATTCTTAAAATAATGGCACATGGTCAAACCTTAGCTAAATATTTGATTTAACCTTTTGCAGAAAATGATGTAAGTATGCCACTTAGAACCATATACAAAAATAGACTCAGAATGAATCAGTAACATGAGAAATGAATGTAAAACTTAGATGAAAGAGTTAAATCTTTGTGACATGGATTTGGAATCTTAGGTATGACACCAAAAACATGAATATCAAAGAAAAATAAGTTGAACATCTTAAAAATTAAAATACTCTATGCTGAGTGGATATTATAAGGAAAATGAAGACAACCTACATTATAAATCTAGTATAGAATATCTATGGTTTATAAATAAAAAACATTATCAAAGATATAGAGAAATGAGAACCTATTTATTGGTGGTGTGAATGTAAAATGATAGTGACATGTGTAAAACAGTCTTACAGTTCTTCAAAAGGCTAAACTTGAAATTACTATTGTATTCTTTGCTAATTGCCGTAAGAAATTAAAAGTGAAGGTTCAAACATATATCTAAATGTCAGAGTTTTCAAAGAGTTATGCACAATAGCCAAATGTCCACAGCCCAAGTGTACACCACCAGGTAAATGGATAAATATAATGTATGTGTGTGTGTAATTATTAAGTGTACATCACCAGGTAAATGGATAAATAAAATGTATGTGTGTATATGTATGTATGTGTATGTGTGCATGTAATTACTAAGCTGTAAAAGCTATGTATTGGTGCTATAGTATGGAAGATATTCTGCTAAAAGCAATAAGCTGGACAACAAAGGACAAATTATATTATGAAATAACTACAATAGGCAATAATAGAGATGGAAGTAGATTAGATATCACTGGAAACTAGATGGAAAAGAGATGGGTAATTGTTACTTTGTAGTTACAAGGTTTCTAATTGGGGTGAGGAAAAAGTTTTGGCATTTTTTAATCTAATCAATAAGAGAGTTTCTTTGTTGTTGTTGTTTTTTAACCACAGTTGAAATTTTTAAAACCTAAGTGGTAACACAATGTAAGAAAACAGATTTCCCAGTGTTTTATTCCTTTTGGAGGGTTCTAAAGTTTAAATTAGAGCAATGTATTTTCTAAGCGCACACTTTAAACTCACCAGTTAGTGCATACCACCTGTCCTTTTTGTTGGTAGTTATTTTTTTAGGTAGAGTCTTGAGCATTTTTGCTCAGACTAGCATCAGACCACAGTCCTCTTACATTGGAAACCACAGTCTTGCATCACCCACACCTGGTTTATTGATTGAACTCAATACCATTCACCTGTGCCAGTCTTTCCACTTCTCCCTCTGGAGGACCTGAGATTACAGGTTGAGCCTTTGCTGCATCCTGCCTTCAGTGTATTTTAAAACCTTATAAAAGAAGGAACGACTTTGTGGCATATTTTTTAAATGTAATGATCCTGATAAAATTGCAAAATAAGCTAAATTTTAGGAGAAATGTTTACGTAACTATGAATTGCAACTTTTTACTATTGATGTGATTCAGGACTACAGTCATTTGGCTTTTGTTTCTAGGTACTGGTAATATGTATGAAAATATGTAACCATATGAAACCATAACTGACTTATGATTTTTAATAAAATGTTGTGCCATATTTCTTTACATGAAATTTTGACAAATCATAGATGTTAAGCAATGTGCACTTCAACCTGTTCAACTGTTTGTTTTTATAAAATCTGTTCTTGTCTCTTTAATTGTAAGTAATATATGATCAATGTACATGCAACTTGCAAGCCTATGTCTACTTATTAGATACTTAAGAATTTATGCTATCAGTTTGGAGAGTTTTATCTCTCAAAATGTCATTTTGTTCAATCGTATATAATTGGAATACTATTTATCATGTATTTCAGGCTGCGGGTCTTGGTCGTATGAAACCAAACACACTTGTCCTTGGATTTAAGAAAGATTGGTTACAAGCAGATATGAGAGATGTGGATATGTATATAAACTTATTTCAGTAAGTAGTAACTTTTTAATTCAGAAATATAATTGGCTTAGAAAATGTTAATTTTAAAATCTTGCCCTTGTTTCTTGATCCTTTTCTCATATAGTCTAACAGAAGCATAAAAATAAAAATAATAACTTGAATGTCTGGGGTTTTATTTTGTTTTGCTGTGTTTTGTTTGTGAACTCATGATAGCTGTTGTACTTGCTAGGCAAGCACTTAGCCACTGGAGCCATGGCTCCAGTCCATGGGTTTTTAAATTGGAGATCTGTAACAGGTTTTCAATTTATCTATTTTTATATAGAGAAGGATACATATGCATAAGAAAGTGTGTGTACATCCTTGCATCCTTAATTTAGTAAGCTTTTTCCTCTTCCTAAGTTATTACCGACCAGAATTTCCAAATGTGATCAGAATCATCACAGAATTGTGTGATTGTAGAATACTGCTATCTCAGACTGAGGAACAGCATTTGTTGTTCCCTTCTCAGATGAATTTTTCAATTAAATCATTTGGTTCATCCATTATTTACTTTTCTCTTACTTGTATGTACTTATTTCTTTTAAAGGTAATTTCAGTGACCTTTATGATAAATTTAGTTTTGTTTTACATCATGTTGGTTCATGGATTTTTGTGAATGTATCTTGTTAATCTACTCATGCTTTTTAGAACTGAGTTATTTAATCAAAAGGATACAACTTCTTTTCCTTTTTTTGTCAGGTTTATTCCTTAAATTTAAGAAATATTTCCTTTTCATAATATTCTAAGATTTGCTCAGCAGAACTGTCCTGTTCACACTGAGGACAGGCGTTCCTTCGCATTCTGCTGTGTGTCATCATCACTGATAAAGCAGAACTGTTTGCTCCTTCTTGTGTAGCATTTCTTCCTATACAGACAATTGTCCTTTAAAAAATTTTGATCAGCTGGGCGCTGCTGGCTCACACCTGTAATCTAGCTACTCAGGAGGCTGAGATCTGAGGATTGCAGATCAAAGGGCAGGGAAGTTCATGAGACTCTTACCTCCAATAAACCACCAGAAACCTGGAAGTGGCGCTGTGGCTCAAGTGGTGGAGTGCTCGCCTTAAGCTGAAGAGCTGAGTGACAGCACCCAGGCCCAGAGTTCAAGCCCTACAACCAACACACACACATACATACAAAAAGTTGATCAAGATGCATTATACTTATAATCTGGCTTTGGGAATTGAAACCCCTTTGTACAACTACTTAACAAAAAGCAAAGTCAAAAAATCAAAAACAAACAGGTATGTAGCAAAGCTCCAAAGTCTTATATTTCTTTTTGAGTATTGATCTAACAGTGCTTAATTCACTGTAGTTATCTCCTTTACTGATATTCTTGTTGAGTCCAAAAAATAACCACATGATAATTTGTTTGTATCTTACATATAATGGCTTCATTTTTATAGATGTTTTTGAAAAGTTTTTGAGGAGATAACCTGAACTTAAGCTTTTAACTTTTCATATTGATTTGTAATGCACAATTATGTATGAGGAAAATGTCTCAGCTCATGGTTAAATGCTTTTTAGAAGATTTTTGTTTTTTACTGCAGTTAGATTTGGGGTTTATTCTTTTTCTTTTTTGGGGGGTCATTTGTGGGGCCTGAACTCTGGGACTGGACACTGTCCCTCAGTTCTTCAGCTCAAAGCTAGCACTTTGCCACTTGTTTTTATAAGCAAAATCTATACTGTACATGCTTGGGGACTAGGAAAAGAAAGACAGTGGAAACAAAGATCGGGTTATTTAGGTTTTAAGATATAATCCTAAAGATATTAGGATTACTGCATATTCTTCCATAGTTTTATTTGGTAGGATGAAAGACTGTTACTGCTTTAACCTGTCATGTCAGTACAGTCATGAGTCACTTAATGCTGAAGATACATTCTGAGAAATTTGTCATTGGGTGATTCCTTGTTGTTTGAACAGAGTGCATACAGTTACAGAGACATAGATGGTATAGCCAACTACACAGGATGCATAAGATATGTGGCCATATGTGTATAGCCTCTTATTGAGGGAAATGTCATAAGTCGCATGATTATACTATAAAGATCTATACATAAGTAGTTTTCATGAGTACTCCAGAATAACTGTCATTCATAGCTGCCAACTGATTTTTTTAAACCTGTTAAAACAGTTTTTAAGCTTGGAATCATTCTCAAGCCTCTAATCCTGCTACTTCAGAGGAGGAAATTCTGGATCAATGTTCAAGGCCTGCTTGGGCATAAAAGTCTACAGGAGTCCATCTCAACCAATGCTTGAGCTCAGTGGCACATACTTTGCTTGCTTGTTAAGGTATCAAATAGGAAAATACATGGTAGATGCAGGACACTGCACCTGTCTTCCCTGTGACATCAGAAGGACAAGTAGAATGAGCAAGTCCTCAGCTGGCCTTGGTGTAAAGTGAGACCATTCCTTGAAATTACCAGTGCAAAAAGAGGCTGGAGGTATGGCCACAGTGGTAGAATAGCTGACTAGCAAGTGCAAGGCCATGTGTTCAACCTTAGTACTATAGCCAACTCAAATATTCCCATTATGAATGCCTTCACTTCATATAGAACATAAATAAGGTTTTGTGATTTCCATTCTCGCTCTTCATACTATAGTGATGCCTTTGACATACAATATGGAGTAGTGGTTATCCGCCTACAAGAAGGTCTAGACATATCTCATCTTCAAGGACAAGGTAAATAATGTTTGAATTATGTTTTAATTTTAAAGGTTTGAATTACTTTGCTAGGAAAACTGTATAATTCTCACATTAGCTTTAGTTATTTATTTATTTATTTTTATTGTGAAAATACCATACAGAGCAGTTACAATTACATGGGCAAGGTAATGGGTCCATTTCTTATCAAGCATTGTTGCCTCCTCCTTTGTTTCCCCTTCCCATCTCTTCCCATTTCTCCCCCTGCGCCCCCTCCAGCCAAAGTTGTAAAGTTCATTTTTCACCATAACATCTTATACATCTCATTGTTGCAGTGGGTCCACCCCTGTATCCCTATTTAAACAATTCGTCCCTTCCCCTCCACAAATTATACCAACATCAAATACAGTGAAAACAGGGGTTATACCATGGGGGAGGGACATACAAAGCAACAAAGAAATCATCTTATAAATATGTTAGAAATAATCGCAAGAAAGAAAAAAACATTTGAATCCTTATCTTGGGGTTCATTTCGCCTAACATCAACTTATCTGACCGTTTCTGTTTGTCTCAGACATATACCAGTTATTGCAAACAAATTATCTTTTTTTTTTTTTTGTCGGTCGTGGGGCTTGAACTCTGGGCCTGGGTGCTGTCCCTGCGCTCTTCAGCTCAAGGCAAGTGCTCTACCACGTGAGCCACAGTGCCACTTCCGGTTTTCTAGTGTTTTTTTTCTTTAATTGGAGATAAGACTCTCACGGACTTTTCTGGCTGGGCTGGCTTTGAACCACGATCCTCAGATCTCAGCCTCCTGAGTAGCTAGGATTACAGGCGTGAGCCACCGGTGCCCAGCTATAAATTATCTTTATAAATACCATTTTTTGTGTTACATATTCGCTATATGACATTGTATGATCAGATCTCTTTGGAACTCACTATAGTTTGTATTTTCTCTCTGTACCAGCACAGATGATGGTTAGTGATTGTTAATGGAGAGAGTAAAATTTAAACTGAATCATGAGCTTTAGAAAAGACACTACTTATTATTAGAAACTTACCGCAAATTTGTAAAAATACATAAATAATAGTGTGAGGAAAAATGTTTACGTCATTGAAGTCATATTAATAATGAAAGACTACACTTTATCATAATATTTCCTCTTGTCAGAAAAGACTCAGGATTTTTGACATTCTCATTAAAACTATAGATTCATAGGAAATTGAAAAAAATGGATGTCCTATACCTGTTACATATCTATAATACTGTAATTAAAACAAATTATACCAACATTGGAATAGATCACAGATTACATTCTGGTTTTACCAGCTTCACATACACTTGTAACCATTACCAATCAAGTTGCAAATGGTTCCATTTTATATTTCCCTGTGCTCTCTCTACAGCCCTCACTATATGCTTTTCCTGTTTCCTATCATTACTATGCAGTTGTCATGTCAATAATATTAATAAATCCATTTTATTTTTAAAGCATTTTAAATGAAGGTTGAAACCTAATTAGAGTATTATTTTTGTTTTTGCCATCTTATCAAAACCTGAAATTTCAATATCCTTCAAGGAGTTCCTGGTACTTATATTTATATAATCTTAAGAAATTTTGCATAGTTAGCATTTTCCACTTAGCAGTTTTTCAAATCGTTAGAATTAACCAATATTAAACAGGTACGAGGCATATAATGAACCTTTGTTATCTCTTAATGTATTTAATCTGCTTCTGCTTTCCTGTCCTCCCTTCACTTTAAGCATAGCCTGCAGTTTTCTTTATCCATAACAAAACAGTATGACTTGAAGAAAATTTAGTTTCATATTTTTGCAGTAGGCCTAGTCAAAATAGTATTTCAATCTCTCTTGCTCAAGCAGTGATTCAGCATTAGAGTAAGTGAATTATACCTCTTACCTTTAGTAACTAGTATTCCATAACTAGTAATCCATTTCATCCAGAAGTCACAGTTTGGCTAATAAAAATATAGTACTGTTATTTTCTGAGGTCTGAATAATGATTGAAACTTTAAAAATACACTTTATTCATCATTCTGACATGTTTTGTTCATCACTGGGATTTAGATGAAGTAATATTATTTGGCATAATAGTTAGGAGTACAAGTGTGGGAATCAAGAACATGTCTTTTAATAATCCCAGCTCTTTCCCTTAGGTGTCTATTTCAAGAAATAGAATTAGCCTGCTTCATTCTCTTATTAACACAGCCACCTCATAGAGTTGTCATGAAGATAAATAATGATCACTTCTAGCAGTGCTGGCTAGCACCTGAGCTGTTGTTGTTTCTCCTCAGCCACACAAATAAGTGATGAGGATTGAGGATTGATTATCAATTTTGTTTTACATTTGTCTTCATCTTCACTGTTTATAGAAGTTAAATATGTATCAAACTGCTTGCTTCCTCAACTGAAACTTCTTCAAAACTGAAGCTCATATTTTCATTATGGTCTTATTAGGAAAAGACTACCTCGTGTCTTGGCTTTGTTTAGTGGGCAAATGAACATTTGCCACACTTAACATTTTTTTATATTTGTAACTAACTTTGAAAGTACAGTTGGTTCACTTATTATATATCTCCTTTTATCTATAGATTCTAATACTACATGAACTTTACTCATTACTTATTCCCTTGGACTTAACTCAAATATTTTACTACCTAAGGACTTATATACTTAAATGAATAGTCATATCAAACAATATCATATTTTCTTAAGAAATCATTCATAATAAACTTGTTACTTGATTATAAATTTTGATGAATTTTAATTCATTGTAATTATGAAACTAACACCTCTTGAACAGTTAAAAATGTGATCTTAGATACTGTTTTCAATACTGTCGTGTCTACAGAAGAATTATTGTCATCACAAGAGAAATCACCTGGCACCAAGGATGTTGTACTAAATGTGGACTACAGTAAAAAATCAGATTTAGATACTTCTAAACCACCTGGAGAAAAATCCATTACACATAAAGGTAATTTTTATTAAACAAGAAATTTTATTAATACTTATGCTTTAATTCCAGAGGAGATGGTTGTTATACAAAGTCACCTGTTCTCGAATATGGCATTGTTGATTTCTAGTTGGTCAGGTAAAATGTATCACTTTCAAAAATGGGTTCGAAATGACTACCTGTGTTAGGTGTTTAAAGTGGGGCTTAGAAACAACCATGTGAATGAATTAGTTAATAACATTGTCCTGTGTGTTTTTCTTTATATTTGGTTTAAAGGAAACATTTTAGTTTGATGTATAATTTAAACACGGAAACAACATGGCAGTTTCATAGTAACAATCTCATGAGGTTTTGAGATTATTTCCATCCACAAGTCTATGTGTCATCTATAAAAAGAAAAGAGGGATGACTTCCAAATCTTACTCTCCCATCCTCACTCTCCTACCTCTGTTCAGACTAGTATCTCCATCTTTCCTATCCCCAGCTGTTACGCAACAAGAAAAAATCTGCACTGTAAATCATCAAACCATAGCATACTTTTGATTTCTCTAAGATGATCATTTTTAGGCAAGCATGTCTCTCCACGCTTCATCTCCTTTTACATTATTTGGAAGAACTGATGATGCTGTTTTATTCCTTTCCTTCTTGTAGTTCTTGTTTTCTTAGAGTTAGAAGTGGTTGAACCTGTAGTTCTCACCCATTTCCCTTTGCAGTTCTTTGCTGGCTTGATTATAGTTCTTTTATGCTTTGCCTCAAAATGCCACAAACTGATTCTGATAACTAAGTTTCTGCTTTATTTGAACTTATGTATATATATTTTTTTACCTCTTCCTATTTTTTTTGTTTATCTTACCTAGCATAGATCCTTTCTCTACAATCTGTTAAGAATTATTACTGTAGTTGTGTTTGGGGGCAGTGTAACTTATCAAGCAGCTATTCTGTGTGCTCACAGAATTAGCTTATTAATATATATCACAATCTCATGATCTCATTAAATCATTAATTTTTAAAGAATAAAACCTAGTTCAATACATTTCTCCTTGCTTTTCTATTGTAAAGACCTACATATTTTTAACCTAGTTTAACCATTTTTAAGTGACAAGATTTTCTTGATGTTTCTGAGCTCTTTTAAATGAATATAAAATGTTAGTAGTTACAATTTTAATTATTAAAGGTAAACACTACTAAATTATAAAGACAGTAACATTTAAAATTTAATGTAATAATTGATCCTTTATCCATAATGTGAATAAAAAGTAGCACTCAGAAGTAGTATAGCTTTCTTTTAGATTTGCTTTCTATTTGGCCAGTTCTCTAAATCAGCATAGATACTATAGAGAACTTATAAAAAGTCTTCAGACTTAGAAATATTCTGGTATAGTTATTATATAGGCACAGTATTATATATGGCTGTCTTGTTTATTGAGGTATATATATGCAAGAGAAAAAAAAGAACACCCCTTAAATATTGGATGTGTGCCAGACTCTGAGCTCATTGCACTAATACTTACAAAGTAATCATCTCAAGAGCTAGGTACTGCTAACCCTTTGACAGATGAGGAAATTAAGGAGTTAGGTAACCAGTTTAAGCTCACATAGCTAGGAGAGTGGTAGAGGTAACATTGGAAAGCTGGTTTCTAAGTCAAGATCCCTGTCCAAGTTCAGAGTTTGTGTTTTAAATAATAGAAAAATAGCCCAGTGTTGGTAGCTCACGCCTGTAATCCATACCTGTAATCCTGGCTAAGATCTGATGATTGCAGTTCAAAGCCTGCCCAGGTAGAAAAATCCATGAGACATATCTCCAATTAATCCCCAGAAAATTGGAAGTGGCACTCTGGCTCTTAAGTGGTAGAGGCTAGCCTTGAGCAAAAAGGTTCAGGGGACAGCATCCAGGCCCTGAGTCCAATAAAAAATAAGTGGAGTGAGGCAATCTATTAATTCCAGAAGAAACTGATGAATATTAAAATATAAATGGATTTCTTTCTGTACACATACATGTATACATATATAAATTTTGTTTGAAGAAGCTTAATCCAATGCAACCTTGCATTGAAGACTTGTATCTCTGATGAAATGCCTTAATATTTCCAGTAGTGATTAACTTGTGCAAAAACTACTCATGTCTCTAAAATTGCTTTTCAGTTACCTGCACAGAGATGCAGTAGCATGTTTAAAACTTACATGTTGTCTGCAAAGTCAGTATTTCATGTCACCCTTCTTCTTTACAAGCTATAGATTGGCATCTTCTCAACTGATTTCAAATATTAAAGTATAGAAGTTGGCAGATTTGCTAATTTTGTCTGGGTGAGTGTTAATCATTCACCGTGTAGTGTCTAAAATATTTGCTTTTTAAGATCTTGAGCACTCAATGTAGAAAATATTAATCTTCAGTCTTGATCATTTTTCATGGACTGTTGCTTCATGCTATGTTCTGTTTATAAAAATGTACTCTATTTACATTTTCATCTTATGAATATAAAGGCAATTAACTTAATATTTTGTGTTTTTTAAACATAATCTAGATGAGGAAGAGGATGGCAAGACTCCAACTCAACCACTGTTGAAAAAAGGCAGGCATTTTTCATCATTTTATTTTAATCCCTTTCTTCATACTGTTAACTCTTTAATTCCAACCTTATTATTTTCTTTTTTATTTTATTTCCATGGTGAGGTGATGTTACAGTTATTTATTAAATGCAGATTAGCAAAATTATTATTCCAACTAAACAGTTAAAGCTTCCTGGGGCAAAGTGACATATTACAGACAAGTTATTTTAATCATCATAGCATTTGTGAAATATTCAAACCTGGAAAGTCAATTCTTGTTTTTCTTTTTATTTAAACTGCATGGTTTAGATGATAAGTAGGGACACTGAAATAGGTGTCACTTGAATTCTTTACCATCAGTTGTACCAAGCAGAGTCCTCAATTTTGATACTAATATATTTTTCATTTCAAAAATTACAATATTTCTCACAGTCGTGCTGCGTATGGGAGATACAGTCATGTCAACATACATGAATTTTATGAGCAGGAGATAGAGGTGAGAGTTTCGGAGCAGTGTGGTTTGGTAGCCATATTATTTCATCACACAAAATCATTTCATGTTTGCATACATCATGGCAGCATGAAAAGTGAATGACAGAGACATCCTGGAAAAGTGACCAGATTTCCTTCTATGGATTTCTGCTTTTAAAATTTTAGTACTGGAATTTTGTAATAGTCATTTGCTTGTTCACAGAGCTAAGGATGGATTGATCTATCTATTTATCTATCTATCTCTGTCTACCTACCTACCTACCTACCTACCTATGTATAGCCCTTTAATGTTACAGCACTAGGGTTCTCTTCCACAGAGTTCCCATCATCTTTCTGTGATTTCAAGAAAGATGTAGCAATATGACTTTAGAATTGAGAGAGCAAAAAATAAAAATGAAGAAGTTGATCCTGACACTAAGGTATTACTCATTATAAGATGGTATTGGTATATCTTCAATTCCCTTCTGTCATTTATTATACTTTTTTATTTTTTAAATAAAATGTTATGTGAGCTGTAAATCATTGAGATTCTGGATGACAAAAGAAATACTTTCACACAACAGGTATAAACTTGATTTGTCCAGTTAACCTAAAGTGTCTTCACTAGCAAAATGTAATTTTTTGAGTGGTATTTAAGATTCCACTAATATTCATCAGAATGCTTCATCATATTAGAAAGCAAGCAAGATAATTTGGGTGAGAACTGCTGTTATAAGAAAGTATCAACATTTTAAAGTATATTGAAATTATAAACTACAAGTTTATGATGGATGCCATATACAATTATCTTAAAACATGTAGGAAATTATAGAAATGTGACAAAAAGACTTTATTTACTTCTCACATTTTATTTTTTATCTTGATCCTTTAGAATCCAAAGGCCCTGCTGCACCTTTAAATGTAGCTGACCAAAAGCTCCTTGAAGCTAGTACACAATTTCAGAAAAAACAAGGAAAGAATACTATTGATGTTTGGTGGCTATTTGATGATGGAGGTAAGATCAGTAGTATATTTTTTAGATAGTTTAAAACATTGCATATGTGAAAATAGTACTAAAAAATGTCATGTACTTTTCAGGTATAGACACCAAGTTTTGTTAGCATTCTCAAGAGCACATGCTTTAATGTTGTCATGTCTTATTATTTGTTTTTGGCAGAAATATCATAGCAATGGTGCTGTGCTTTTCTTTCTGTGTCTTAGCAGGGTAGTACTGATGTCTGTGGAGTTACTTGAATCATTGAGTCAAGTGGATTTTTGGCCAGGTTTACCCACTGAAAAGTTGCTTTTATCTTCCTCTTTATGATTACAGAGGTTACTTTGTGGTTATATAAATATGCTATTTGTCTCTCAGCTAAACACAAATATTTAGCATCCACTGAGGTTTTAAAGCTATTACTGTTATGCTATTGTGTTGGTTGTCAAAAGGTGAATTGTCCATTCCTACCATTCTTTTTTGTTAGTTGACACTTTACTGTAAGGAAAAACTTTCTCTTTTGTATCAGTGCTTGTTTATTGATTCTTATTTTAGAGCTTCAGTATGATACAAATTGTTACTCATTTATTTTGATATTCCAGTTGCCCATAGTTAGCCAGCAAAATGTCACTTAACTGCTGTGTCCACTTGTCATGCCCACTCATTCTTGTTATTGCTTTCTGAAATAAGATAATGTTCCAGGTTCCATTTTGTAGTTTCATACTTTGTCAACATAATCCATGGAAGGAACCTTTAATCCAGCAAGCCCTGGTTTGGTTTAGTGGAGAATAGTAAAGATCAGGGCATTACCTTGGCTGTGGCTGGTAGAATATTACTGTTCCCAGACCCTCTCACTTGGCAGAGCTGGGAAATGTACTATATGCATATTTGTGTATATCTAATAACATTGGAAACACATCTCCAGTCTTGTTTATTTCTCCTGTCAGTGTGAAGCCTGACTCCTATTAGTATCTATCCATTTCTTCAATCCTGCCTAATTGATTCATTTTCTTACTGTCAGGCTACTATCCCATTTGATGACACTATTTGAAGATCACCAACTATTGAGTTTCCCTTCTTACTCCCTAATAACTTCTTGACTAAATTATCAAGACAGTTTTATTTGTATTGAATTGTTGTAAATATGCTTTTAGAAACAAAGTTGAAAATAGTTTGTTTGAGATACTATCATTTTAGTAAATGATTTGTTATATTTTTGTTTAGGTTTAACATTATTGATACCTTATCTTCTGACAACCAAAAAAAAGTGGAAGGACTGTAAGATCAGAGTGTTCATTGGTGGAAAAATAAACAGAATAGATCATGACCGGAGAGCGTAAGTTTATTTTAAATTAACCTAAGGAGTCTTAGTATACATTTGATAGGCGTAGTATCATTATCTTAGTATACATTTGATAGACTAAAACTTAGATAATCTAAGAAATATGAGTCACGTTGCTCTGTCTTATACTGAAGCATGTTTAATATATTGGTACTTGATTATCACAGTATACATTTTATATGGTAAAATGTAAGACAGTCCAAAAAATACCAGTCATGTTGCTCTGTCGTATATTGAAGCAATATATGATAGACAATACCTTTGATGATCTGTCTACCTATTCCTTTTCCATTCTTACTTCCTGTTCCTTTTCCATTCTTCCTATTCCTCCAAATATGCCCTCTATTCTATGTGTCCTTCTGCACATTTCAGAATTTGGTGGCTTTGCATTTACTCATCTCCCTCCTGTACACAGCTTTCACCACCTCACTCTTTTCTCTGTGTATGTGTGCCTGCATGTGTACAAGCACACATTTTGGGGGGCTTAACTCAGGGCCTGGCATGATCCTGTAACTTTTTCACTCAAGACTGGCATTCTACCACTTGAGCCGTAACACCATTTCTGGATTTTTGGTGTTTAATGGGAGATAAGAATCTCACAGGCTTTCCTGTCAGGGCTGGCTTCAAACTGATCCTCAGATCTCAGACTCCTGAGTAGCTAGGATTGTAAGTGTGTAGCTGTGATTACAGCTCCAGCTTCCTTCTTTTCTTTTTAAATGTTCATCCCTAGCCTAGCTCAGTTTTTTTTGAATGCACAACCCTATTGTTCTCTTGATTCTCTCACTCCCAACTAAGTCATGTTTCCACCCTGAGTACATGTGATACCACTTTCTGGCTTATATTTATTTTCTTAAATTTGAATTTTTTGAAACCTAATGCCTAGCAGGTTGCATAGCAGGCCCTTAGGAAATACTTTCCCATATTTAACTAGTTGTTCATTTACAACAGTGCCTTATGCAAGAAATATTAGTAGTGAATTTAACAGATAAATTGTTGTTTGTCTGTTTGCTATACCTTTAGTTGAAAAAAAAATCATTAGTTCTTATTCATGAAACTGTAACCCCTCTGTACAGCATCTTTACAATAAAATAAAATTTAAAAAAATCATTAGTCATAAAATCTTGTTTGTGTTCTCTAATATGTTGGAACTTTCCTATTGTCACCAGGGTTTTATTGCCATCATATATCCCTCCCTGAAAGTCAGTTTATTGATACTCCTTTTCCACTGTTTATTCCCACCAACAACCACCAAAAACAAATGTTATGAACTTCATCTTCCATCAGCTGTATCTTCCACTTGGCATAGGAAGTCACATTTGGACCTTGAGATAAGCATTCTTCTTAATTGAGATAATCCAAAACCAATTTTAAAAATATTTTTGCTTAAATTTAATGTTTATCAGTACACTTTGATGAATAAAAAAACTTGTTACAATGCAAATTTCCTCTTTCTCCATCTACCCATTACTGAGTACTAAAGAGAGATTCCAAGAAAGTAGAATAGAAGTAACAGTAGTCTATGGTCAGGTAATTCAGACACCATCAAATAAATAGATTCAGCCCAATATAGAATAAAAATACTTAACATTCTTCACATACCTGAATTCTGTTCATTTTTTGTTATAGGATGGCTACCTTGCTTAGCAAGTTCCGAATCGACTTCTCTGATATCATGGTCCTAGGAGATATCAATACTAAGCCAAAGAAAGAAAAGTAAGTTTTTGGATACAGTACTCGTACAAGTTTTCAGTTTATAGATAGACTACCTAGTCGCCTAGTCATAGATAATTCAATTACACTAATTGCCTAAGTCAGGTGGTTTTTTTTCTTCCCAATTGTTAATTATATGTGAAGCCAACTGATAGTTAACAAACTAGTAGCAGATATTGAAGTAAGTCAATTTTCAAAGGGGATTTCATTACTAGTTTGCAGGTGCTTTCTGAAAGTTGTTAGTGCCACAGGAATTTCAGGTTTTTGTAATTTCAGATAGGTTCCATAGTTATCATAAGCATTCAACTCCCATTCTACATAACTTTTAACTTTTCATTGTTCGTTTTATTGTTAGTATAGGAGAATCAAAGCATGTGCCTATAGTAATTCCATTGAGAATGTCCTGTTGCAGAAAATGTGTGTGTTGGGATAGTCCACCTGAAAACGGTGTTGACATTGTAATTGTATTTGTATTTGTTTTTTATTCTCACATAAATGTTGAATAAGTGATGAAGCGCTGTACAGATTTCATTTTAGAGTACGATTTGTAATGTTTTAATCAGGAAGAGATTGTTTTTATAAAACTATACAATAGTATTCAGAGGTGTTCTTCATATCTATAGCAGATTAGAGAGAGACTCATTCATGTTCTTTTACTGTATTTTGTTTTGGTAAGCATATATGGATCATTGGGTTTTGTTTTGTTTTTTGTTAGGTTTTCTTGGCTATCTGATCCTTATTTGTTTCAAAATATTCTAGTGCATAATTGACAAGAAACACCTAAATTAGAATTCACGGTGTAAGATCGCCCTGTTACATAAATTAAAATGAGGTTATCAGTAGTCTTTCTGTTCTTTTAAGTATTGTAGCTTTTGATGAGATGATTGAGCCTTACAGACTTCATGAAGACGATAAAGAACAAGATATTGCAGACAAAATGAAAGAAGATGAGCCATGGCGAATAACAGATAATGAGCTTGAACTTTATAAGACCAAGGTATTCTTCTGTCTTCATTTATTCATGTTTTTTTAAACATTTTGTAAATTATGTTTGAATAATGACAGTTACCAGGGTGGTTACAACTCAACATGTCAATTTATAAATAAATGAATCAAAGCCAGGCACGGGTGGCTCACATCTGTAATCCTAGCTACTCCAGAGGCTGAGATCTGAAGCTGTGGCTCAAAGTGATAGAGCGCTAGCCTTGAACAAAAGAGCTCAGGAACAGTGCCCAGGCCCTGAGTTCAAGCCCCATGATCGACAATAAATGAATTAAATACATAAATCATGATCAATATAAAAATTTCCTAAGAGATAAAATTCAAGCATTATAATTTGACCTGGGAGATAACTTTTAGGTAAATTAAATCTGCTTTAAGTTGGATTTATATATGTTTCTAAGTGGGGAACAGATAGTTTTATTCTACCAAATTGCAATCATGTTTTGATTTTTTTGTTTCATAAACTGTGCTCCTTTTTGGTTTTTTTGATGGCTTAAGGATTGAGCCCCGGACCTCAACCATGCTAGGCATACAGTCTCCACGGGCTCCATTCTCAGCTCTTGCTCTAACTGTAATTTTCAAATTAGGAGTGATTTTTGTCCTGTTTCATTTCAGACATACCGACAGATCAGGTTAAATGAATTATTGAAGGAACATTCAAACACAGCTAATATTATTGTCATGTAAGTACTGTCTATTAATATTTCTTGTTCATTTTATGAAAATGTACTTTCTGTTGTTTCAAGTAAGGGTCTCACTGTGAATATACATTGCTTTAAGCATAGGGAGATATCAATTGTTAGGGGGGAAAATAACCCCCAAAATCTCAAGTTATTCTATTTTTCTTCCTATTCTTTTCTAACCCTTCAAAAATACCTTAACTTTGGAAACATCCCAACTAGACTTAGGCAGGTGTGGGATAGGAAGATCTCACATTAAAATAACCCTGTAAAGCCAGAAAATTAAGAAAAGTAGTGATCCTGTATCTGAATCTTCACCCTCAAGTTTTCCAGACACTTTTTATTGTCCTTGTATTGAATATAGTAACTGGTGCTTAGTTTGGATTTTCTTCTGCTTAACTTGATTTCAACTAGGTATTAGTTGAACTCAGATTTGCCCAAGTCTCTAAAATCAGCAAATAATCAGCAACAAACTCACTACACCTTTAGTGTCCATTTATGTTGGCAATGATAAATAACCTCTGCTGTCAGTGTGAGCTGACAGTGTAGTTTCCTACAGTTGATTCTCTGCATGGCCCTTCCAGATACTCCCTTCTCAACAGCCTCTTACGACCTATAGTGGAATTTTATAGCAAAATGCCCTGTGAATCACTGGGTCATGATTGCTCCTTATCCTGAGACTCTAAAAGTATCTCAGTCCTAACAACAGGCTGATGTCACACTCTGAGAAAGAGAAGCCACAGAATGCCTTTCTTCACCAAGGCTACCTTCTAAACTGGGGAAGCCAGTGCCTGACCAATCCTTGTACAGGTATTGAGGTTTGCAAGCTGTTTGGGATTTTCCCACAGCTAGTACTGGCAGAGTATGTAAGCTACACTGTTGACTCGCCTGGGGAGGGCAGCACTTCACTGGAATCGTATCTCTGCTGTTTTCTGCCTCCTCACCCCCTCCTTTATGGCTTCTTGCTCTGTCTTTTTCTTTGTGGACTATATATACTCTCTTTTATGGCCTCAGACCCTTCTCATTCATGGAGTGACAGAACCAGATGTTTCTAATCCTCCATCTTGTTGCCTACCTGTTTGTTAATCCTAATGAACACATGTTTAAAAATCTTTTGTTGGCCCAGGCACTGGTGACTCACTTCTGTAACCCTAGCTACTCAGGAGGCTGAGATCTGAGGATCGTGGTTCAAAGCCAGCCCAGGCAGGAAAGTCCGTGAGATGTTTTATCTCCAAGTAACCACCAGAAAACAGGAAGTGGTGCTGTGGCTCAAGTGGTAGAGGACTACCCTTCAGCTGAAGAGCTCAGGGACAGTGCCCAGGCCCAGAGTTCAAGCCCCATGACCAACAGCAATTATAGTGTGTGTGTGTGTGTGTGTGTGTATACATACATACATACATATACATATATATATATATATATATGCTCTCTCTCTCTCTCTCTCTCTCTCTATATATATATATATATGTATCTTTCATTTGAAACATAAAACCATGGGAATACTGCTAGAACGTAGTAATTGCTGTTCTACATATATAATTTCCCTGCACTCAGAAGAATTTTGTAACTTATAGTTACTGTTGTGGAACTTACAATTTTTTTTCTCAAATTGGAAGCCACTGTTCAATGTCTTCTTTCTTTTTGATACCAGGAGTCTCCCAGTTGCACGAAAAGGAGCTGTGTCTAGTGCTCTCTACATGGCGTGGTTAGAAGCTCTATCTAAGGACCTGCCACCAATCCTCCTAGTTCGAGGGAATCATCAGAGTGTCCTTACCTTCTATTCTTAACTGCTCTACACATGACTGCCCTCCAGAATGGTACTTCAGTGCCTAGTGAAGTGACTGAAATCTTCATTGACACGCTAACATCACAATGGCGAACTGTGACTTTTCTCTCACTATATCGTTCACTTGAAAGCACACAGGAAAGTTGCTCCATTGATATGTGTGTGGGGACTTCACTTGTAGTCAATTCCATATCTCAATCTTAATGAATGATGATTCTTGTTGGACTGAAGTTCATGAGCGTAAAGTTTTCCTTTGCTACTTGAATAGCAATAAAAGTGTGTTATTTTTTGATTGATGAAGAGTACAAAAAGCCTTTAGCCTTGAGGTGCCTTCTGAAATTAACCAAATTTCATCCCTATCTTTTATAAATTTATAGACTGTCAAACTCTGTTTTTTAGATACTTTAAGTTTTAGTCTCTTCCACCTTAAAACAAAATGGACACTGCTTTTCATCCTTCATTGACCAATTAGTGTTGAGTACTGTATGTTTTCTTACTTTTGTAAAGTATCTGTTAGATATTGACAGTGTGAATTAGGGCAAGTTAATGAAAAAATTTTAATATATCCAAAAAAGTGGACCCAAGGTTAGGTTTCTATGAATCTATGAAAATGTAGAGCTAGGAGAAAGAGGCCCAAAAGACCTGTATTTGAAACTTAAGGTTGAAAATTTACCTAAGTACTTCTGTATTCTATTCTGAAAAAAAAGTCACCTCATTCTTGAAACAAAAATCTTAAAGGTCATTTGTCCTGTTCTAGAATTTCCCTCAAATCTGAGAGACTTCTAAGAAACATTTTTCTGGAGGAAATTTAGACAAAGCAATGTCATGTAGTAGAATATTTCAAGAACACTACATGGGATTTCACTCTACCATCCTTTATTAGTCATTAAAATGTTTATCAAATGGTTAAATGGACCACTGGTTTCTTAGTGAAATGTTTTCAGGCTTAATTCATTCAATTGTCAAGTACACTTGGTCTTAATACACTCAGGTTTGAACAGATTATTCTGAACATTGAAATTTAAACCATTCTTAATACTTTAAAACTTGTGTCAAGAAAAACTGCCAGTTTGTATGTTTGAAATGTCTGTTTTGACATCATAGTCTACTAGTCTACAGTTTGGGCAGTGCATAAGTACTGTTATTAAAAGCTTTATATTCAATTATTAATGTGAAGTTTTTCATTTTTTATTCAAGGAAGGATTTCCTAAAACATTTCAAGGGATTTATATTTACATATCTTTGTGTGTGCATATATATGCATGAATATGCATACACAGATGCATATGTGTACATATAATGAAATTTCTGTTGCTGGTATTTTACATTTTACAGTGATCAGGATTCATTAAATTTTTCTGTTTTAGTTAAACATGTTCAAAATCTGATCACAGATTGTAGGTTTCACAGAGAACAAAGATGAAGGACATAGTGTTACTTTTCCCAAGGCTATCATTCAGTTACAATGTGGAGAATGTATCATGTAAAGTACTACACAGTGTGTTCATCAGTAAGCTCCAATGGTAGAGAACTTGGGTAGGGCTCAAGAATCTTACTAGAAACCTATAAAATTGTTCCTAGTGGTGCAGTGTTTCTGCTGCATGAGTATGAACCACATATAAATTGAAGATCAGATCATTTAAATTCAGAATCTTCATAAAATGAAGTAATTGATTTTTATACCATTTTCCTACATCATAGCTAAGCATTGTTCCATTTATTGCAGATTTTGCAGTGTTTGGAGGAAAGGCAGTAGATATGTCATAATTTTCATAAACACTGTTATGTGTGAACTTTATAAGTGGATATTAGGGCATGGACTGAGAGCTGCTATCTTGCAATGTGCACAGGTACACTTACTTTTTATTGTTTTACATCTGTATTACAAGAACCAAATGTCATGCATCATGTGTGTATAAAGTACATAAAATATATCTAAACATGCATAATGCAGGAGAAGGTAATATTGTCTGAAATAATGTGTTAAGTTTTTCACTTATCAAAATGCATTATTTTCACTTAATACTACATACCAGGTCAAAAAATTTCCAAATTGTAGTGCTCTAAAAATTTCAGCAATCATTAGAGATGCTAGCTAGTATGAAGTTTTTTGCTTTATTTATGCTGAATTTTGATTAATGCCAGATTTTTATAGTACTAATTCTTGGTGATAACTGGGAAGTAAGTATGCCGTGGCATGTGAGTTCATTCTTATAGGTAAAGAATTCAGTGGGCTCAGAGGGAATGTTGGTGTTGAGCTAATTATTAACAGTTAATTAAATCAAATATTTATTTGTTACATTGTTTCCTTTGTATTTTAGGTTTCCTTTTACATCCTTTTTTATATTGTTTTCTGACATGACATTTTTTTAAACTATAGAAATAATTTAAAGATATGAGCTCTGGTGGATGAGTATCTACTAAGGTTGAAAACAATATTTTGATAATACTGTATTATAACTGTCACACAGATGCTTTTCTAATGTTTTAACCTTGAGTATTGCAGTTGCGGCTTTGTACAGAGGTTACTGCAATAAAGGAAGTGGATTCATTCAAACTGTTTAATGTCTACCCTTGTATTTTACCACTGATATAAACTATGTTAGTTTGTGATTTCATCTCATTTAGTAAACTTTCATTATTAGTGTCTGAATAAGTTACTTTTAATATTTACACTTTGGAAATATTGTTTGAAATTGTGTACTATTCCTAGGCCCTTGTAAGAATCACTGTTGATTCAATGACTAAACTCTAAAATGCAGCTCATTGTTTTCGACTGAATTTAGCACTTAGCTTTTCTAATACTACTTGTCTTTGGACCAAATCCCTCATTTATACATGAGGAAACTAGAAGATTAAAAGGGATTCATGTTTGCTGAAATAATCTATTTTCCTAAGATTTTTTTTGCTAAGCTGATTTAAAGTTTTACAAAGTATTTTCCATTTTTTTCATTTAGACCCTTTGGTAGGCATGTTACAGAAGAACTGCCAGTCTGTTTTTTGTTTGTTTTTCCCCTCCCAGTATGGAGCTTGAACTCATGCCTCTTACATTCTCACTCAGATTTTTCCACTCACAGATGGTACTGTGCCTCTTGAGTCACAATCTCTTCTCCACTTTTTTGATGGTTGCCTATGTCTGGGGTTTTATTTAACTCCGATTAGAAGCAAGTGTTAGCTGAACTCTCATAAAGTATGCTTAACTTTCTGTGAATAATGTCACTTAATAAATGCAAAGTACTGAAGTACTTAGATTTTTTTTAAAAGCTTAGTAATGTACAGTTTTGGCCCTGGGCTTTGTTAACCTAATAAAAATACTAGAAGAAAAGAATTCCAGTGAATCAGTGAATATGCCTGGTTGAGCCTAAAGGTCAGAAGAAGCTGGCATCAAACACCCCACCCAGTAGTTGACAATGCCTTACCTGAGCACACCACGGCAGCAAGGACAAAAACTGGACAATGAGTGAGATGCTATCTGCTACTATCAGGGTCAGTAAATTTCCTACCAGACATTAAAGGCCTATAATTAACCCCAAGTTTTAAAAAAAAAAAAAAAAAACCTCAGCATAAAACATGTCTAAAAGCCAAAATAATAGTGTTAAACCTTAAAAAGCAAAAGATTACAGATAAAAGCAACCTTTACCTGGGGCAAGTGCCTGAAGCCTGTAATCCCGTCAGGACACTGGTGTGGGTCATAGTTCAAAGCCAACTGAGACAGGAAAGGCCATGAGAATCCTATTTCTAAGTAGTCACCAAAAAGCCAGAAGTAGAACTGTGGTTCAAGTAGTAGAGTGCTAGTCTTGAGAAAAAGCTCAGGGACCCCACCCATGTTCAAACCTCTGGACTGGCATACACACCCAAAAGCAACCTTTATGTATCTGAATTTACAGTAGTGAAAACCCAAACTGGTATTACTCAATTATGCTTGGCCCCAACAAAGTCACGGTACAACAAAACTATTCACCCAAATACTACCGGGGTAAAGGCCAAAGGATTTGGCACTGTTTTATATCCCTCTTTAAAAGAGCCTGTTCTGTATTTAATTTACCATAGTAAATTTTACCATCTCTTGACAACTCAGCCCATGTACCATCTTCAGCAAACCTTAAGATGACCTTAAAGTACAAGTGTTGACATGAAAATGTTAGACCAAAGGAGGAAGCTACAATGCTTGATAAGAGATGTTCTCATTATCTTGCCCATGTAATTGTAACCCCTCTGTATAGTATTTTCACAATAAAAGAAAGAAAGAAAATGTTAGACCAAGAGCTAGTCCTTATACTAGGCTATGTCTTGTACTTGAAGAATACTCCCCATAGTCACTCTTAATGAAACTGCATGAATGGATCAAGAAAATGTGGCATAAGAGCACAGGAATATCACTCAACCATTAGAAAGGATGATACTGTACCATTTGTAAAGAGATGGAGACTTGTAAAAATTAAGTGAGGTAAACCAGGCTTGGAGGGACAAAGGATACCTGTTTTCCCTTAGATGTGGATGCTAGGTTTAGCTTACGTTAGCAAATACCTGGGGTGGTTTGCAGGTATACCCAGATGTATTAACTGAAATACAGTAGATTCAAGGGAGATCTTCTTAGCCAAAATCAAAGTCCAGCAAAATAAAACACCAGGAGGCAGGTACTTGGAAGGGGTGGGGTGGTGTCAAGGGGTAAGAGGTAGAGGAATGAAGAGGGGGAAATGCAAAACAAGAATCCAAAAAGCAGAGGCAGGGGTGGGGAGGGGAGGGAAAGGGTGATATTGGTCAGGACACTGTATTCATAAACTGCTTTGTTACATGGCAAGTCCTTTGCACAACTACCTAAAGATAATAACTTTTTTAAAAAGAGTCAAAGGAGGGGAAAAGGAGCCTTTTTCCCCTATTGCACTATGGTTGGGAATGTAAACTAGTATACCACTCTGGATGGTGGTTTTGAGGGTTCTCAAAACACTTAACATAGAACTACCATAGGATTCGGCCATAGGACCCCTGGGCATCCACCCAGAACAGCACATTTGCACAGCCATATCCATGGCTGCACTATTCACAACAGCTAAACTATGGAAACATCCCAGATGCCTTACAAGAGATGAGCGGATCAAACATATATAGAGATGCTACTTGTATACAATTGAATTTTATGCATCAATTAGAACGGATAAAATTGTCATTTATAGGGGAATAGATTGACCTGGAACAAATCATATCGAGTGAGGTAAGCCAAGTTTAGAGAGACAAACAGCACATGTTTTCTCTCATTTGCAGAAGCTAGATCTAAAGTAAACAGGGGCATGACTCTAAATATTCACACAGAGACTAAAGTAGAATACTCCAGGGATAAACCCAAAGACATAACACTTCTGAATATATATTTTTTATTATTTTTGTTGGCCATGGGGCTTGAACTCGGTCTGGGCGCTGTCCCTAAGCTCTTCAGCTCAAGGCTAGCGCTCTACCACTTGAACCACAGCGCCACTTCTGGTTTTCTGGTGGTTAATTGGAGAAAAGAGTCTCACAGACTTTCCTGCCCAGGCTGGCTTTGAACCACAAACCTCAGATCTCAGCCTTCTGAGTAGCTAGGATTACAGATGTGAGCCACGGGTGCCCAGCACCTCTGAATATTTAAAATGCTACTTATCAAAACAAATTCTAGAAAATGGAAACATAGGTGTTTTTTTGTTTATTGTGTTTTGTCTTTGAGAGGGCAAGAAGGTGTGCCGAAATGGAGGAAGAACAAACAAATGCATCATGATACTCAGCGGACACTATGTGGAAAATGAACTATGCAACTTCTTGGCAGGGATGAGAGGGAGAGAACTAAAGGAAAGCAAAGGAAGGGGTAACGTTGTCCAGAAAGTAATGTAGTCACTCCCTGACTTGTGACACAGCAGCCGCTCTATACGACACCTTAAGAAGAATGAAGTATTTTTTAAAAGAGTCAAAGGGGGATTTAGTAGTAAATGGACTAGAGAATCTAGAGCCTAATTGAATTGAACCACAAAGTGCCCATTGCTCCCCTCGATTATTTTTCTAAAATTCATAACTATGCAATTAGAGGCGGCAATACATCATAACAAGGCAAGCAGATTGGAAAGTGCTAGCATTAAAGTGTAGCTTACTCCAAGTCAACTACTTAATACCTAGAAGACTGCATATAAACTTGATTGCACTAAATCCAAACATCTAACCATCCTTTCGTTTTTTCCTCTTGCTTGTGGGGTCCAAGTGCCAGTGAGTCTGGGGACCCCTGGTCCTTGCTGTTTCTCTTTTTCTTTGCACCTGTCTCTAGATTTTCTAATTTTCTCTGGCTCTGTATCCCATCACGCTGCCTAGGTTGCAGTTGGCAACAGCCAATTGAACCAAAACACAAGTTCCACTCTAGCCGGCCTGTAAGGCCCCCAGCAGCACCCCACCGCACCCCCAGACATCTGCCTTGGCTATGGAAGATGCTGACTGTTCACACCCTCAAAGGCTTCCCCTCACTGCACCTGGACAAGTTTCCCCAGAAATGACAATTGTTTCTCCCACTTAGCTGCCTGGGGAGGAGGAGTGGACAGTTTTAGAGTGTTTGTTTTTTGTCTTAGATTCTTAAGTGATGACAGGATTTCACAAGGAGAGATTCCCAGGCCGCTTCTTCCTGCTAGAATACAGCATTCACTCCAAGCCCATAGGGCCTGGGGTCCATGCCAGCACAACAGTCATTTAACGTGCCAATCAAATATTTATTCCATCCCACCCGTGCACTAGCTCCCATATCCAGCCTCAGTTTCTACAGTCTGTCTCAAATCCCTCACCTCCACTCTGGTGAGCTTCATGGGGTCATTTGAAGGGGCACTGAGATTCGCCTCTCGCAGGGCCTCACTGCAGTGAGTCTAAGACCAGGCCTCCGAGCCAAGGATGGTCCTTAGCAAACGACCTTGTACAGGAATTGGGGCCACCCCTCTTGAAGGCTTTGGGCTGGGGTGCAGGACTATGGTTCCTTCTTCCTTCCCATAGGAAGCCAAACAACCTTGAGTCAGGTGTAGTAATTCCCACCTCGGTCTGTCTGCGCAGCCGTCTCAGCTGTGAGGGTTGGGCCTTCCCACCTGAGGCTGGGTTTCTCTTCCTTCCAGCCTTGTATTGGGACACGAGTCTCCAGCTGGTGGGGGTGAGCTGGAAACGCTCAAGGAAGAGGAGTTTGAGCCCAAAGTTCTCGCAACCCCACAGAAAGCCAAGTAGAGGAGACCCGCACGCAGTCCTGCAGGCCCGCTTGCAGGACTCAAGGACAGCAGCCGACCCTGTGCTGCTGCTGCAGCTCGCTTGTTCATCCTTGACAGGTTTGTGTGACCGATTATGGAGCCGTCGGCTGTTAAAGACAAGCCATCTTCAACTCTGTTTTAAAAATTCTGTACACCGTGAATAACCGGATTTCAAGGTTCTGTTGCCATTTGACTTTAAACCACCGTTCCCCCTTGATCCCCGAATGCCTGTGCTAGATTAGACCTGAGATCACCGTCTTGATGGTGATAACTATGCGTTCAAAGGGACAGGCTGCTATGAAAACGCCTCCACACCGCGCGC